AAAGCAAGGAGTAGCTTATGTTTGTTAAAATAAAGCAAGGAGTAGCTTATGTTTGTTTTGTTCACTGCTGCTGTTGCAGTTAATACTCACTATTTTTGTTATGATGCAGCATGTTTGATTGTTGTTGGTTGAAGTTTAATTTTGTTACTTGTTTATTGTTTGGAGCCTTTTTAATGTTCAATAAAATAAGTAAAAAGCCATTTCTTTGCTTGATAATTGTTGCTATTTGCAGTCAGCACAGTGCAATATTTAGTTCACCAAGTCATTTATCAAAATGTATGCTAAATTTGTCATAAATATTGAAAACAAAAGCTAAAGGATATCTTATCTTATCTTAAAGTTAAAAGAGCCGTTTGAGAGCCAAAAAGAGCCGGCTCTTTTCACTGAGCCGATCCAAATGAACCGGATCACCGAAAAGAGCCGAAAATCCCATCACTAGTTGTTCGTAGAAGATCTTTGGGTTCAGAATCGACGAGTGAGTGCAGTCCAACCACTCGAGGCTTGGAAGACTTTCGTCTATTTACCACTCACACATGCAAAACTCGATCCCTCACTCCGAGAAGAGAACTTTATAAAAGCAAGAAAAGTAAAACTGGTTCGCTGGCTGTCGAGCTGCACACAGTGACGTGTCGTAAGGACAGCACAGAGTAATTGCTACCATTGTTATGCCCTTAATCGCTCTTGTAGAATGCGGGGCGCTACTGTAAATCTACCCATTCATAAAGAACGCTTCATGAAATAGCCCTAATCGGATGACAGGTATCGAAATAAGTCCATTAATGGTAAACATTCAACCGTTTGTCCTGCGTCTTTTGTTGTGAAATCTGTCATGTTAATGAAACGATTTTCAAACTCAAAACGTCACCGTGAGTTGCTGAGATGCATCTTGAGATCCGTCTTCCATTTCTAATCTTTTGGCTTGTCTCAGAGCTTGACTGCGTGTTATCGTTCTTGTGCCAGAACTCAGTTTGTCTGGAGCTGTCAATCACACCGATACGCTTCCCTTGCCTGCTTCAGTATGATGAGCTGTTAATGTCAATTTCTGTGTTCTAAATCACTTTTGCTTTGAGACACAACAGGAAGCTACCCATGATTGGCTAGTTTCCATAATACAAGATAGGATAGGAAGTCATGGCTGTTCAGGGAGCAATATATCATTTCTTTGGCACTAGGGTCAAGGTCAATTGCTGACTCTTTAGTTATTGTACGAGCGATACGCATTTTCTCTTCAAATTCATCCCTTGGCACTCAACATTTCTATTTTCACATTACATTTGCTTGGCCGTGAGAGCGGTACAGAAGTGGCTGTTTATTCCTCGTGGATGTAGCGGTGTAACATCTAATTCGCGCAGCTTGAAATGACTGATTTAGGAGCTGCTCTCGTGAAACACTGTGATAAATCACAGGGAACCGAGTTAGAGTAATAGGCTTCCTATTTCTGCCCCAAAAAGGTGTTTACAACATCGCTTGCAGCAAACTCCCGTCGTCTCAAGCCGTTTGGGGGAAGGCGGGCTTCCTATTTTTACTGAGTCTTGACAGACTGCAACTGGCAGACGATCAAGTCAGGACGGATCCCACGTCTCACCCAAAATCAGCCGTGAGACGGTTCACTCAGCAGAACTTAATGATGAAAAGTGGTTCCGTTGCAGTCAGAAGCTTGCTTCTTGTTTGCTTCAAAATAAATGTTTTATTCATTGTTCTGACATCTGTCCATTTACCAAGCAGAAAGGAGTCTTATTCAAACTGCTGTCTATGAAGGGTGGAATGTAATGAAAGTTTGAATTCATGTATTTGTTTTCTAATCCACACAACAGCACTCTCTGCTCTGGAGCATTTGCGTCGCATAATGTGACATCACAAACAGTCCGAAACGATCGGTGTACAGTGATCCCTCGCTACCTCGCGGTTCAGTGCATCGCGGATTTTTTTCAAACATATAAACAAAAAAATTGGCATTTGTGGGGTGGCATTACACGAAAGCGAACTTAAAACAAAACATGGATCATGACATACACGAAATTCAGCTCAGCGATTGTCACTCGCATTCTACCACCCGGAAGTGGACTTGAAAAAGTCGCGACTTGCTCTCATTTTGAGGGAGAGAGAAGACCTCACTTCTTTGCAACACGCGTTTCAACCTGCTCTGATTGGGCATCACTTTGGCTCCCTCTGCAGGTTTGACTGCCAAGGAACAGCGAGAGAGAGAGAGAGATTGGCGGAGGGAAGGGGGCGGGCGGGAGAGGGAGACAGGTAGAGTCTGAGCAGGGGCGGGGAGGGGAAGCGTAGTCGCGGCTTCTCGCCGGGACACATTAAAGAAGGTCAACGAGAAGATGTGATGGATTGCTGATGGTCGTCTCTCCTCTCCGTCATCCAATTGCACGCGCAGAAGCAGGTGGTGTCCAGCCTACTACAAGCATTCCCGTCTACCATCTGCACGCGCCGCGCCTTGCCATCCGCCGCCGGATTTTACGCGCCGTAGAAGGAAGAAAGAGACGTCATGATCAATGAGACGCCGAGCGTCTTTTTATTGCAGCGCGCGCCGACGCCGATGTGCTCGTGTTCCCGGGATCGCATTTAAGGCCAAATGACTTGAACCGGTCATCGCACGCGAGGTTGTAACTACAGCTCCAAAGATCATTGTTGCAAACCATGGCTGACCAGGTAAGGCGACACCTCCTGTTTTCCACACAGCACCCAAATAGCCTCCCCTCGGACACACGCGCACACAAGAACAAACTCGATTAGTATCAAACTATTCATTCTTTTTCGGTTTTTTTTCTTTCTTTGTTTGCTTTGTTTTTTTTTTTTTTTTTGCACACCTGCCATTGTCTCGGTCTTGGTGTGGTAAATAAATGACCGTTCACTGTGTGTTGCTTAAGATTCACTCACTTAAGGTTAGTGCATGTTGAAAGTACGCTACTCCATAAGCGAGTTTTGACTCTTTAGTCACGTTACGTCAACTGTTTAACTGTGATAGCAAGCCGTCAGTAAAAAAAATAAAAATCACGAATGCCATTTTATCCAGCATTTCATCCCTCGTAGTTTTTATAAGACACTGCACGGCTGCCTTTTATCCAGATGCAGCTGAAGAGCAGAAGCACGAAAAACATTGGCTGGAGAATTAAATTTGCATCGCGCGCTGTTGTTTGGCCTAGTTTTTCTCCAGCCTGCAGAGAGAGGCAGATTAACCCCTGACAACTGGCTCAGCCTGCGGTCAGGGTTACCTCAGCCTGCACGTATGGCTCCCCTGAGCCTGCTGACAACAGAGGCCATGCTTAATTGATTATCCCATTCAATTAACCGAACTGACCTCGCTGAGTAAGCCCCGACATGTGTAAAAAATAAAAATAAAAATACTACTACGACTGTGCGAATACAATAAATAAGTTCAATACATAGCACAATATTCAAATTTACCGCACTGCGCCGTACTATTGCACTGTACTGCACTAACATTGCATAATTTATATGAACATGACATGCTCCACCATACGCTATTATTTTACAATTTTTTTTGTATAGCTTTATAATATATATATATATATATATATATATATATATATATATATAAAATTGGACATTGACACTCCACACTCCTTTACAGTACTGTGATATACCTGTGATCTAAATTTATAGAGCAATGTGTCAATGTGGTTCCCAGTGTTTTAAGGTGCAATCAAAGTTCCCCAGTTCATAAAAGCGAGTGGATTCTGTGAGGTTTGTTCCCACTTTGTAAGGCAGGTGTTAATTGAATATTGTCGTGTAGAAGTGAAGGGACTAAATGACACATTTGCTCTAATTCCGTGTCACTAAAGCACTTAGCTCTGCCCTGCAGGCAAATGTGTGGGGATCTGCAAGACAAAGATTGATTTTTGTGTTCATATTGATGAGCGTCGCCGTTGCCTGACCAGCTGCAGCTCTTACACAAGGTGCTTGTGTGTTAACATTTTCTCAGGCCGGGTATAATTTGGAACCACATTATCATCTTTAAAAAAATTTTTTTAATTATTATTATTATTTTTTTTTTTTTAAAGACATGACGTTAGATTTTTCAAACATAAGCATGACACGCGTGCACCACGCTTTTTTTTGTGTCCCGCCTTTGTCGTTTTTTTTTTTTTTGTTGTTGTTTGCGCGTCCATCAGGATTTGTTTCTTGTCCTAATCTCTCCTCGCCTTATCAACCTGCTGTTGTTTAACATCGACATTCTTTCAGCAGCTCCTAAAGTGTCTGACACACACACAAATGCATATTATAAAATGCCATTCATTTACATCTACACTTTTTTTTTTTTTTTTTAAACCCATCTAGTACAGTATGTTTCTCACCACCGCACCCCCCCTGCGACGAGGAAGCACACCCCTTCCCGTCAAGCACCAGCTGCGGAGAGAAGAGGCCGTGTCCGACGACTGCGATTGGATCCCGGGATTGGAGGAACCTGCCACCTTGCCGATCAGTGACACAACATCGCCCGGCGATGAATCGTTCGGTCAAACGCCGGCCGGCCAGTCCGCTTACCACAGTCAGGGAGGGGCACTGAAGATTGTGCTACTGGGACAGAACGGCGTGGGCAAGTCGTCACTGGCCTTGTCGCTGGCCGGCCAGTCGGACAGATCGCTCTCCGTCGACTCCGAGACCCAAGCATGCGGTAATGGCTCCTACGTGTGTTGCTGAGTGCGCGTGCAGTACGCGGCATGGCAGTTCTCCCGTCAGTCGCAGCTTGAATCGTGTTTTGAGAGGATTTGCTCGGAAAATTGCACTTTTCGGTGGGGCGGAGGATATACGCTACAATGATTCGCCCCTTTAGCACTGGAAACTGACAATGAAGCAGCGAGAAACCTTTTGTACGTAGATTCTATACAACATGTAGGGAGAGACACCACTACCTCAATTATTTAGTGCTAAATTTCCATGACGCTAAATTCCCCCGCCACTCCCTTCCACCTCTTCCTCCTGCTCCTGTGACCTCAATTAGTCAATAGAACTGCCTGTCAAACTGTAATGTTAATAATCAGTCCTCAATCACCCGTTCATTGAATCCCTCCGCCGCTGCCCACGAGGGGCATCTTCAATTGTGCTCAGGCTCACAGCAGAAAAAAAAAAAATCTCACTCTTCGCTGCTTGGTGACTTTGAGCTTGCTCAATGGACAGATGTCGACTTCATCTGTGCAGACCGTTGATTGCGTTCCTTCTGCAAATGTGCATTGGGCTGCTTCGCCCTTCTCTGAACATCCGACAAAAAAGAAGCAACCTGTACAGGACTTAATCCGCACGTTGCGATGATCGGGGTGCCACAATATCAGTTTCGTGAGTGGATGCATACTTTATAGCAATGGAAACATGGTCCGATCAAGTGATTGCCAGTACGAGACGGTGCAGGCTGTTTGAGGCTAAAATAGGTGAGTCATTGATCGGAGGCTTTTCCAGTCTTTCCGGTGGCTTGGACTTTAACGTGGTATTTTTAAACGTGTAATCATTCATGGAAGCTCGTAGTTTGCTCGATAACAGGCGTCGTAGCGTTGGTGCAGAAATAAAAGCAAATTACACAACAGTCAGTGCTCAAACGGGGAAAAAAGTGACTGACTGGCAAAGGATCACCCACTACCGTAACTAGTCGTAGTCTAAATATTATTTCACATGTTTTTTAAAAAAAATCTGGCCATAGTGGAAAGCCCTCTTGATAGCACGCACCCTCCACATGCATTCACACCATCACCACACTCGCTCGCTGCCAAATTTAGAAAATTTTGACGACGGAGGCGAGGACGTTTGCTGCAACTTTGATTGGCATTTTCTGAAATGTTAATGTAGCCAGAAAAATGTTTTTCGGAGAACAGATGAGACAGTTGACATTTGATTCCGGTGCAAATGTCTTTCTTCTCCTCTTTGTTTTTGCCGCATCTTATTTTCCATACCGACGTCTCATGCGGTGAATATTCACTGTGCCCGTTTGACGACTTGCTTGCAGGCGAGGGCTACGAGTGCACGGTCACAATTGATGACGAGGACAGCAAAATCATCGTTTTTGACAATTGGAAACAGGTGAGTGATCAGTTTTTGGCTTCCCATGTCAAGCGCAAGTCGCGGTGCCTCACAGCACTTCGTCCTTGCCCTTTGGCCTCGCTAACTGGACTTTGTGGTTGTTTATTTAGCAGGTATAAGATGAACAGCGGCATAAAAGGGTGGAAAGGTTAGCCTTTAGGTTTAGGGGGTGTGCCATTAGTGTCCTCTTTCACGCGCACCCTTCCCCCTTTTAACATCCGACTTTCCTCTCTGTAAGCAGCGTGTCGGCACAGCATCAGTCAGTCGAGCCGAGCGCTCATCCAAGTCACACAACAACATTGACAAATTTAGGACTCGGTGGTGAGATAAGGTGCCTCGCATTATTAGCCCCCCGGAGCAAACTGAAGACTTAAGTGTGCCTTATGGTCTTGAAAATACGAGAACGCAAAACATACAAAAGATGTGGAAGAATTTGATGCGTGTGATCCAGATATATTTTTTGAAAGCATGATGTAATCACTGCCTATTCATCTAATTGGCAAGGGCTTCGGCTAAGTCTGGATGTAACCTAGTCCAGATGTCCACCGTGGCCCTCAGGGGCTCCCACCTCAAATTGAAATTCTTCACGCTCATCTTTGAGAACTCAAGTGAGAGCACGCCGGCTCGGCCTTGGAGCGTCGCCTCCTTCTCTCTCTCTTCTCTCTAATTGTTTTGACGTTCCTTCTTGTTGTGGCCGTCCCATCTGAGTCAACCGATCCCCTCACGCGGCCTTGCAGCTTCGTACCCCGCTGGCATTTTTCTGCTCTTAACTCTCCTCGAAGGACCGGATGGTGTCCTAAATAAATCCACCAGTGCATGCTCATATGTCCTTCTTTTGTTTTGGATGAACAGCATGTACGCGTATAATCCCAAACAGAGGGGCGTGTGCAGGCGGATCCTCCACCGCCGCATGACATATGACGCGGCCTTGACGCCCGCACCCCCAAAAAAAAAAAAAAAAAACTTGGAAAACTATTTGCCTTTACACCTCTAACGAAAAGCTGTTGAAATGAGCCAGACTAATACAAACAAGATCTAATTGCTTTTTTGACCGACTTTAGCGCGTTTCAAAAAGTGGAAGCAGCCTTTTCAAGTGGCCCTTTCATCATTCCGTTTTTCTGTATGCGGCCCTCAAACGAAAAAGACCGGACACCCCGGCCGTAGGGTGTCATTTTCTCCCGGGCCAATGTGAGCAGCACCTTTTCTTGCAATGCAAACTGCGAAGAGAGCTTCTGGCAAGCTGTTAGATTACCCCCCCCCGCAATTGTTCCTTCAAGTGCTTTCTTGGATTGCACTGATTGACACACGAAAGGCCATCAATGCAGCGAAACACTTCACAGCGCTGTGTCGACACTCGACGCCGCGTGTTATAGAAAGACACGAGAACGGGGGCGGACCAGACGGCTTGCGTCTTTTCAGTGTTGTTGACGTCACCGGGCGGGTTTAAATAAGTCAGCCGTGATACCGAAAATAGAAACTCTGGGGCCTGGTCTTCACCCAGCCGGCCGATAATGTCTTCCGCGTGTCGATGAACTTGACTTATGTGAAGTTGTTCGCTAAAAGAGAACATTAGCAGTCAGTTATGTAAAGGACCATGAGAGAAATTGAGGTCGCCGAAGACCAGAAGGGTCCTTGGCCGTGTGTGTCCTACATTGGGCTCTCATTTTCCGCTTCACGTCGTCTTTATCGTCCTGGATGTATTCCCGTACCCGTATCGGACGTCTCTGTTGTGATGCGATGCATTCAGATTCCAATATTGACTCATGCCAACCAAAAGGTACAGACCGAGAAATGCAAACAGTGATGCTGATTTGCAGCAAAGGGTGAGAAGAGCGGAAAACAAATGCTCGTCCCTTACGGGGCAGAATGTGCATCGTGTTGAAGACAGTCACGGAGGGGGGGGACTGAATTTGGAGGGAGTTCATTGCCGCTTGAGTACATTTCTGTTTGTTTTACCACTCAAGGCATGGACGAATTGTGCATTTTAAATGTCGAGGGAGCTTTGGCGATGAGCTTCTTTTTGAGGAGGTTTTGTATCTTCCAGCCTTGACTGACTTGTTCCGGACTATTCGCCGTTGTCGGTTTCTCGCCCTCATCCACCGAAACGCTGTTTGTCAATCAGAAAAACAACCACTTTGTTTAAATGAGGATGTTCGACTTTGGCAAGCGTGATGAAAAAAATGTGTTTTTCTTTTTTGTTTTTCTCAATTTCAACCCTCCATTCGTGTGTTGTTGTTTATCGCATCACAAAAGACTTTCATCCTACAGATCGAGTAAACGCTTGATAGTATTTGTTGAATACCACTGGCTATTTTTCCTCTTGCAGTGAGCTGAAGTTAGCTGAACCCGACGCTGTACAACCCCAAAATATTTCCTATTAATTTCCCATTTCCCCCTCCACCCCTCGCGATCGACTTGGGACCAGTCCGCGGGCTCCCAGTCGATCACGATTGACCGGTTGGCCACCCCTGCTGTAGAGAAAATATTTTCGTAATTGTTTTTATTAAGCACTAATGTTTCCTTGTATCCTGAAGGGCAGTGCAGTAAGTCATGATTTACAAGTCTGCCGACATGACAGGGGTCTGGCTTCGGACCCAAGGCTGCACCTTCTGCCCATTTTTCTCTCCGCAGCCAAACGCTCGGACTTTAGTCAACATTCAGAAACATGCTTGCTAGTTCAATACCGAAGGCCGAAACTTGTCCGCCGGTGTGAATATGAGTCTGAATCATCATTTTTATATATAAATGCACTGCGAACGAGTGGCGCCCAAGAATGCGCCGGGATAGTCTCCGGCTCGCCCGTGACCCGAATGAAATGGAAAACGCATAAATGGAATTGAAATCCCCTTGGATCTCTTCCAACAATAAAAACGAAGGTCAGTCAGCATTTTTGATGGTGGTGGGGATTTACGAATAAGCGCAGGCAGATGGAGGGGGGCAGGTGATGAGTCAGTGCCGGCCAGATGGCCTCGAGTAGTCTCCTCCCTCGGGGGGGCGGGGGGTGTTTTCTCTGCAGCAGTAAACAAGGCAGAGAAAAAGAAGGAGATATGAACTCAGCATTCTTCGCCTTGTCATCCTATTACGAGATCTCAGCCGTGTGAAGAGAGCAAGCGCTTCATTTGCATTTCCACACAGTCGGGGTTCTCCTCACTCCCGATCTCACTTTTGCCGCTTTCCTCCCCGTAGTCTTATGGAGCATCTTCACGACGTTGATTATTTGATTTCCCTGTGAATGAGTCTTTATTTGGACACGGTGACATGCAGAGAGATCCCAAAGGCAGCAAGTGCAAAAGTGCTTTGAAGCCACGTCGTCAGCGTCCCACTTTGCATGTCGGGCGTACGCACGGCGGCGATGCATCGGAGCTTCGGTCTCCATGTAATAAAACCTTCAAGATGATTGACTTGTTGTGTCAGTAGTGGGCATCGGTTTCAGTTGTGCGTTGTAGAGACGGAGAATGGTATGAACCGCACACGCGGGGGAAACTGCCGCCTCTAAAAATAGCGGAATCATAGTTGGTCTCAAGGAGGAGTTGCGCGTCATGCAAATGATGTCTGATAAGTGAGTCATTGTCCTCAATTCAAGTTTGTGTGCCATCGCGTTTGGCTGGTGGGTGCTTGTGACTTGGGGACGGATCGCTTGATTGTTTCCAAGAAAAGAAAGAAAGCCTTTTATTTGTCCCGGATGGGAAACAAAATGATTCCCACGCATTTGACGGTCCCCCTTTGAAGCCGGGAGCAGCAATCAGAAGAGCGTCCTCCTTCGAGTTTAGAAAAATGGAAACATTGGAGTAACCTCGAGTTTCAAGAGGCGGCCTTTTTTCTCCCCCCACACTGACATCAGCGATGCTGCTCGCCTTGACATCTGTCTGAATATCAGAAGATGAAGAATTTTTTTAGGGAGCGGGGGGTTAAAAAAATCGCCAGATTATATGTACTAGAATATTAACAGAGTTGAGCTCAATCCTTCTTAACGTTTCTTTCCGACGCCCGCAGCAGAAACGGAGCAATTCTTTGAACCATTTTCGACTGCTAGAACAGATTGGCCTGTCTGACTTCCATTGTGAGCCTTTCATGACAACATTTATCTTTGCGCTGGAAGCCCACAACAATTTCTGCACAAGATCCACAACACAAATGAAAACGAAAGAGGCCATTTTGGGGGATTGTCCATCATATCAACATCATCACTCTGTCTAGCTAGCCAGCATTGGGGCAAAGCAAATGACCACAAAAGTCCTATCTGGAAATTATCCGCAATGCATGGCACGCCTCAGAGCGCTACAAGTGGTCAATTATCGGAGTGATCAATTTCTTTGATCTACCTCCGTAATATTCCACTCACAAAACGCAAAAAAATAGCCATTGTGTGATCCAGCCTATCGTGTGTTGTGCTTGTTATGGAGCACTGGTGTTTTGTTTTTTTCTTCCTTTCCTGTCTGTGAGCTGGTTCTGCACGGGGGAGTCGTGGATGACAGATGGCGTGCTCTTGGTGAACAGAGCGAAACGGCTTTATTAAAAGAAAGGGAAAAAAATGCCAAAGGTTGGCACTGCCCTGAGTTACTCTGCCCGTGATTGCATTTACTTGCTTTCCAACGGAGCACTCCATCCTCTTTGAGTTTGTACACTTTTGCATTTGGGAAGGGGGGGTGGCGAGGCTGCACGGCGATTCATCTCTGTGTCGTTCCTTTTGCTTAGCTTGTTTTCATTCTTCTTCCTCCTTCATTGAAATCATGACGGGGCTGGTGGCTTCCCCCTCTCCCGTTTGTTCCTCGTTTCCTTTCTTGTGCTCCGTCAAACAGATCGCCAAGACACTCCCCGCAAATATCCTGCTCCAGGGTCTGATCCGATACTCCTGGGCCATTTGGGAGATGGTGAATTTTTCAGGCGGCTAGAGCTCCCCTGAGGGCAATCGTTTACCTTGGGGACGATGGATGTAGGGCAAGGGCAGTTACACACTCGCGCACAAACACCACACACAGTCAAGATGTGGTCCAAAGCGCTCAAAGGGAGATTCCATTTTCTGCGCCAAGGATGAGACATTTGTAGTGTCATTTCTTTGGATTTGTTAGCAGGATTAAAAAAAACAAACAAAAAAAAACCCCATAACTGTATTAGATTGGACGTGGGTGTTGGTTTCGTTGTTTTAAAATTAGATTAGATATAATTTTCATTCCCTTTTTGATTTTCCCATTTTGTAGTACAATTCTGTGATTTGTACCTGTGGTCGCCCTGTATGAAGGGCAGCACGGTAGTGGTTAGCATGTCTACTTCCTTCCGCCTATCTTTATTCCAATTTTCAAGAATTGTGAAAATAAACCTGAATGGAAAAGCCAGAACTTTTTAAAACAAGTCCCCAAAAGTTTTGACACTAGGAGGTGAACTTTTCAGCAATAAAAGGTTTTACAAATAAACAACGACAGGAGCGGCTATCACATTGCACGTACAAAAAAAAAAAAAGGCGGTGAACCATCAAGTAAGGTTTGGAGGGGACGAAAAAAAAGGAAATCTTTCTGGAATAATGCACCCGTTTCTTTATCTCTGACAGTATTCTCAACATAAACCATTGGCATTGCCGTCTCCTTTTCATGACAGCTCGAATGCTGACACTAGTGTGAGCAGAGTTCTTCCAAAGCACAAAAGCTCGATCAGCAATGTGTCCATGATCACTTTTGTTGACAGTCAACCGAGTGTCACGGGGCCGAGAGAGACGCGTTCGTACGATGCCCTCTCCCTCTCAATGTTCGCACAATGGTAACAAATGGAAACAGAGGTCACTTGGTCGTTTTGCACATATTCACTTCAAAGATTTTGAAGATCGCGATGGAAGCCCCATCACAGTCAAGTGGTACTTGCTTTGAAACTCAGCTCAAGCCCTCTAGTGTGAAGTTTGCCGACTCTCCGTGTGGGTTTTCCTTTCTAAATTGCCCTGAATGTGTGTGCGTGTGTGTGTGAATAGTGATTTGTCTCTATAAACATTGTGGTCGTCTGGAGACCAGTCCCGAGTTGCCTGTGTAAACCCCCAAGTCAGCTGGGTTACGCTCCAGCTCACCCGTCATCCTAATGAGGACAAGTCAGGAAAACAGATGGCCGGATGGGTCTGGAAGGTGTAAGATTTGGTGCTGACCCAAATAAGGATTCCTCAGCTTTGGCCAACATCGGCAGTTCCAGTCAAGAATTAGTCTGCTCTCTTTGTAGCATTCGTTGGCCTCTTTTTTATTTATTAAGGTCATTAAAAACAGCATTTTCCCCAATGGCATTTTTAAAGCAGATTGAGAGGAGTCACTTTGTTTGAGGGGGAATCAAGTCGGTTGTGTTCACACCCACAACGGCGCAAAACGTATGATTGTAACTGCGGCCTCCACACAGTGAGACTCCGCCTCATGTTTGACTTGCACTGTGCATTAAAAAAAATCGGCATTATGGATGTGGTGCATTGTGCTGAGTAAATAGTTTGCTATTCACTCAAGATGACCAGCTTTACTTTAAGAGCAGTATGCACCCACGTGACGGACGGTTTTGTCCTTGTCACGCGATGAAAGCCTCTTATTTTAATATCTGTTCTGATGTATTTGATGATATGACAAGAATCTGTATATTTGCGTACCTCCACTTGGAGTGATGGCACTTGGTGTTGCTGCTCCAAGACACGAACACTAACATGAGCCATTTTATGAAGACGGACCACTGATCTATGCCAATATACAGTAGCTGATCGATTCGGGGCCAGAAAGCAAGAAAAATGGCCCTGAGCAAGCGCAAGTTGCTCTTTCTGCTCCAACCACTCTGGCTAATTGAACCTCTGTGACAGGAAAACCCATCGGGATGTTAGCGTTCACTGCTAAAAGGGTCAGGCGATTCAAAATGGAGCGTGACATGCATGGAAACAAGTTGAGCATATCGTAGGACAGCTATATAAACTTCAGCAACACCCACCACCTTTCGGTGACCAAGTTCTAACGGAGCAAGGACAAATTTCCACTTCGATTGATTGCTTTGGCGAGATCTTTTACCGACCGTCTTAGCCAAGTCATATTCTGCCCATATCCATCTGCCACTGGATCTCACCTTCATGCCTTTTTACGTGTGTCGTGCTCATCTTTCCCGCTGCTGTGCGTTTTCACAGGACCTGTGCACTCTGCGGTGCGATGTATGCATCCTGGTCTTCTCCGTGACTGACAGGCGAAGTTTCCATCGCACCGCGCAGCTCCGCCTTCTCCTCAGGGAGTCCCAGCCTCACACGCCAATCATCCTCGTGGGCAACAAGAGCGACCTTGTTCGCTCTCGTGAAATCAGCACTGAGGGTAGGTACGGCGGATGGAATCGCTCGCGTCCACCTGCACACAAACACATCAACCCAGCCCTCCCACGAAAAGCCATTATCCAGCCATGGTCGGGTGTGCTATCTCGCCTCGGCCAGGCGGCTCACGCTTTGTGTTTTTTTTCTCCATATATAGCAGCAGTGCACATGTTTTGGTTTTTTTTGTTGTTTTTTTGTTACAGCAGATACTGGTATTGTAGGAGGCTAGAACGTGGATATTCGGATTTCCTAAATCAACAACATATGCACAAAACTACTGCTGTAAAAACTGAGTGTTATATGTTGCAATGGATATGCATACATACTGTACAGATAGATAAATAGATGTATACACACACACACACACACACCCCATACCAGAGAATATACAGACTAACAGTTTTTTTTAATTAAAGGAAACCTACAATGTCAATCATTGTCACTAAAAAAGAGCTAGTCTTTTTTTTTTTCCTCCCTGGAAAAAAACCCCAAAAGAACCCTGCGCACCTCACCACAGCTAATGCCAGAAACACAATTGCCACCGCTCTTTCCTATCTGTCTTTGTCTCTGTTTCCGTCTAACACAATTACCGCCTCCCCGTGGTCAAAATGAAATGATGCTATCCAGTGTGCATCGGAGATGTCCTAAATGGATCTCTCATTTTAAAACGAGACAATAAAGAAGTCAGATGGTTACAGATTCAATCTCTCAGTAATTTTTATTTCATCTTTGTCTTTAACACTTGGAGTCGCCAGAGTGGCATGCAATTGTAATTCTTTTCGGGAAAACCAAGTGCCCATTTAATATCTGCCCTGCCCCATATTAAGTCTTATTATGCCGTGTCCAATAGGCATAACGTGGCTCGGGGGAAATTCCTCATCTTCGAGATTGATGATTTTCAAGGAAATGAACTCATCATAAAAAAAAAAAATGATAATAAAAAAAAGATTTGTCAACCACACCTAATTCATGATCTCCTTGAGTAGCTATTCTCGACAATATGTTTTCACTTCATATATACTGAACATATCCATCCATGGATGGATGGATGGATGGATGTACTGAACATAGCATTCATTCTGTTTGAAAATGTGTAATGGCGATGTGATGGCAAAACACACATACAAAACAATAACTAGCCTTAGAAAATAAAGACAACTTTGGTGAGCCTTACTATAGTATAGTAGTAATCAGGATATTAAAAAACGAACTATTGAGGGGCTCAAATATTGTCAAAAGCAGACTTGATCTGGCTGCTTTTACTTTGCTAAACATACAACAGCGGAAAGCTTTTTGTTCCCATGGCTTGGTCCTGAACCGAATCCATTCAGTGAGTGAATAAACAAAGATCCTGTGAAATATTTATTTGGAGTTTTCATGGCAGGTCATCCCTTTGTCAGGAATCACGAGGTCTTTTTTTTTTCTCAAACGGAAAAAAAAAAGTCATGAATTTTGACCAGGATGTGTGTATAATATTTGAATGCGCCTGACACTTTGTGCAAAATATCCACGAGAAATCAACACCCCTCTTTTTGCATCAGAGGCCCAATCCAGCGCCATGATGTTCGACTGCCACTACCTGGAGCTCTCGGCCTCACTGGAACACGGCACCAACGAGCTGCTGGAGGCGGCCGTCCGGGCCGCCAGGGGCGACTGCGTCGGACCCGCCTGGGCGGACGGCGACCCCGCTTCGGGCCGCCGGGAAAGCTTGACCAGTCGGGCCAAACGGTTTCTGGCGGGCCTCGTGCCGCGCTCTTACGGGCGAGAGCGTGACAGAGGACGCTATCGGGAGATGAGCCGCCACCGGGGCAGCAAGATCCTTCGCCAGAAGTCTCGCTCCTGCCACGACCTCAGCGCACTGTGACATACAGACAAGGAGACCGGCTCAAGACACACTTCAACACATTTATATATACACACACACACACACACACACACACACACACATGCACGCACACCAGTCATGCCGGAGGGGGAGGTGTGAAATGTGAACTGGAAGAAGATACACAGGAGCAGGAATGACAGGGAGATAGAAAAGGCGCAAATGGCTGCACATGCTCTCTCAGGCTGAAGCTTTGTGGCCCCGCGTGCTGAACGTCCTTCAAATAAGCCATTTGGAGATAAAGCATTTGATTTGAGCGGCGACTGATGGGGGGGCTCCAAAAGAGTACGCAGCGGGGGCTGGATCGATTTCATGGAAGACTCGTAACCTTGAACCCTCGCATACAAAACCCCCGAATCAGAAAGGCAACACGCTGGAATGAGTTCAGATCCAAACAATAACACCGTCGGGATTCACTTTGACCTCAAGAAAAATAGCACATTTCATTTTTCACCTCAGGAGTGGACATTTTGAAGCCGATATTTTCTCTTTTTTTTTTTTTTATTCAGTTGACTGGATCTCTTTGAGAGCGCGACCGTGTATTCGCTTGCAAATAATCAGGGATTGAAGACGTGTGGTGAAGTACCTCCGGCGTGATGACTTTTTGTTCTTTTCTTGAGGAGTGCAGCCACGCGGGGTCTTTACAGTCTTTCTTGTTTTGAATACACGGCACTTCTTCTCTCCCGACTTTTTCCGATGTGATGAAGGATGAAACTAAATCACCACTGCCACATCCCACCTGCTCTTTCTACCTGTTGGGAGATGCGAATGGAAGGACATGAAAAGGACAGACAGGCGGAGGGAGGGAAGTCACAAAGAGACACACTCAAGTAGCACGCACCGATGATGCAGACTGATTAGCGAGCTCACGTCAACGTTTTGTGGATCCTGTTTTAGAGCATGCCCAGTAGACGGCTGGCCCTGGAGGTTGATGGGTTGGACTGGACCTCGCTGGCCAATAGGTAACGCACAATCTAGCTAGTAAAACTATCGCAAATGCAAGACCCTTTATTTCACCTCCTTAGCCGTTGATGCATTTTTTTTTTCGCCCCTCTCGACATCCTCTCTTTCTCTTCCTGAGTGTTTAGCTCTCATGGTTGCCCAAGCCATATGATTGCACCATAAGCAAATCAGCACCGAGAACCCTTTACTGCAAGAAGCGGAGTCAAGAAGGCTTTTAGGGAATGAATAATAGTGAGGTTTGGGGTCAAAGGTGACTCGGAACATTTAGCTTGATCACAGAAAGAAAGAAAGAAAAAAAAGAACAAATCCAAACTCCCTGTCGACGTTTCATTTCGGTCATGTTTCTCGCTCCATCCGCTGGCATTATTGTGATGTCTGCTCAGGCTGAATACTGTGGGGGGGCAGCGGCGCAGGTGAGCAGACGAGGCCGTTCTGGAAAAGAGATCTCACGAGAGGGGCCGTCACCGACACGGGCCCGCTTGTTGGTCACACTCGGCTAAGCACTCACATGGCTTTCCACTGAATAAACTTTGCTTTGACGTCCCAGTGTTGCTCTTGTTTTCTCCTTTGCGACGCTCGCATCACTCCATCACATCTACTCCGCTCGATTCTCCAGCGGTGAACTTTGTTTGACCCCATGGATGGAAATTCACAGCCGGCATGGGTTCAAGAACACAAAAGAGAAATCCTTTCACATCAACCGTAGAGGAGCCGTCTTCTGCGGGTCAACGCTGAGAAGAAGCGATCTCATTCCTGTCCAGGTTAAAAGATAATGCACTTAATAGACAGTTTAGAGCAACTGGAGGCTCGGGAGTCCGACTTGGAATCAGGGAGACATTGTCACCGCACTGCTAATCGTAATCTACCGAGAAGGACTTTGCGATTGGATTTAAAATGAAGTACACAGCAAAGGCAGTAGCAAAAAGGTACACTTGAGCTCCCTGTGACTCTACCTTGATACCTAAAAGGTATTGGACACTTTAAAAAAAAAAAAAAAAATTCCCTCCTGCAACCTCACAGGTCAGAAGTCAAAAGCTCGGTTTGCTCCAGTCACAGACCCACAGCGCAAGCTGCTGTTTTGAGTTGATGACGCTGCACGTATCTCTCAGCTATCAAGGGGATCCACGAGAAGACCCTTGAGAGGAAGAAAAACTGGCAAAGAGACGGGGACTTTGAAAAAAGAGAGGTTAGAGAAATGCTTTGAGGAGTAACGGTTGCTTGGAGACTGTTGTCTAGGCGACCACGAGTCCCGAAGTCCGTTGGAATCTGGAGTCTTCTCTATATTCACGTTGACCTTCTCCTGTTTAACTGGTTTAACCAGTCAATGAGGGCAGGAGGAGAAAGAAGACCGGATGTGTGTGTGTTTTTTTTTTTTTTTAAGGTTGGATTTGATTCCACAAACAATCTGATCCAATTTCATTTTGCGACGCCGGTTCACTCACGCTGTGGCAGCACTCCTCCCGGTCTCTCTCTTTGTCTCTGACTCATTCAGTGGGGATGTACACTCCAATTTCTGGATGAAAATGACATTTCGGGGCGGGGGGACTGCTTAAAAGATGAAAAGCCTCAATTGTTTGCCACTGAATGCTTTTTGAATGATTTCTCACTTGCAACCAAAGGAGGACTATTTTCAGTGATTTATTTATTTATTTTTTTGCATAACCAATGAGCTGTACAAGAGCTGCTGACTACACGAGAATACACCACCACCGTGGTGCCAATTTGGCATGGATGGGAAAGGTTTAGATGAAGAAAGATATGGTGTCAGAGGGCGGCGGGGGGGGCTCAGCATAACGAAGGCCATTCGATGATGTGTGCTGCGTTTGCGAGACGGTGAACATTTCATTTGTGGTGTGAAGTATCATTAATCATGGATTATTTGTATTGTCAGTGCCATTAATAACGTTCAATTTGGAAGACAATGAAATTAAAAAAAAAAACAGACTCATCACTGTCTTCATTCTCTCTGTTCAAAGAATTTACATACAAGTAAGGAACTTTATGAACGTGAAATATTTTTCAAATGCTCAAATCAAACAATGGAATGACAAAAAACAATTTTAAATGTTTTTTTTTGGGGGGGGGGAATGGTCACTGAAGAAAATCACTGAAAAGCTTGCGTTTCTTCGACTGGCCAGTTTGAATCTCCTGCCACTGGGCTCGTCTGTTGATAAAGTGGGAAAGAGCAAATTTGGCCCAGACGTGGCGAGCAAACTGATCTGACCTCAGCTGGCTTTCACTTGGCACTGAAAGGGAGGGAGGAGAGAAGTTCATTAACATCCTGTATATACATGGAAACGACCCCAAAAAAATGTACATTCATATGATTACCAAGCTCCTGTGCAATGTTTTGCCTCTGGCTGACTGATGCGCTGCTCCATATGGCCTCCAGTACTCGGCTGCCCAGCTTGGAGCATGCCATTCGAACATACTGACCCTGCGTGGAAGGAAATAAATAAATACGATACGTTTGGAGATGTGCAGAAGATTAATATATATATAAAATAAGATATAGCCTTCCTTGTATAGAATTCTGTGTAGCATTTTCAGATGACACAAATTTGGCATCCTTCAATTTACTTCAGAAATATTGTACAGTATATTGTTACTGTTTGGTAGAGACCAGCAAATTTGGTCAGTTTCATACAAAAAGAATGTTTGTCCTCTAAGCAGATCAATAGCTCTCGTTCACAGAATCAAAACGGGCAAAGCGCTCGTACCTCAAGCCTCTTGAGGATCTTGCCTCTTCCCTTGTCGCTGGATGTGCTGATGAGAGCCTGAAGGACGTGGCTGCCAGCGGGGTCAGACGCCAGAGTCAAGAGGTCCGCTGAGGTCAGTGTGCGCAGACTGCTGAGGAGGACGGAGCGCTCCCGGAACCTGGTGAGTGCCTGCACCAGCCGGGAGCCGTGGTAACAGATGGACGACAGAGGGACCTAGACGACACAAGCCACGCCGGAACCCGTTGTGCGTGTGACATTAGTTTAACGTGAAAATGCCTGAGGGCTTCACAGTGGCTCGGCCCATTTTAAAGCCACCGGGGGTGACTAGACCGTTCACGTGTTTGAAGCCCTCGGTGGAAAAACAAGTCCTTTGACGTCGCGTTGAAATATTTACTGAGCCTCAGAGTGGAAAACAAAATCGTCGTACCAAAGACATGTGAACCGAACCAAAATAATTAACGTGCAACGTGGCAAAATAAAAATGCACAGGGCAGGTTTTACCCCGAAAGAGAAGGCTGGATCTCGTCAGCTCACCTCAGGCGGCACGCCGCCCTCTGCTGTGTCAGAGCGGTAGTACACATCATAGGTCAGGAGGGACATGAAGAGAGAGAGGCAGTGGACCTGCCGGGAGCCGGGCTCTGCGCAGTGAAATGCCTGAGAAAACAGCCGACAATGACACTTTCATTGCGTTATGCGCATGCCAAGAGCAGACTTTGGCAGAATCAGCATACAAGAGGGTTTTGTTGACAAAACAACGCCAAGACGTACACTGAGTAGACACTGCATCAACTCCGCTTGGCGCTCTTCACCTTCCGCACAACTTTCCGCCAGTTGCACAATCACACCCATGTGACCTGCAGCCATGATGGCTTCCAGGCCTTGGACTAACTCGTCGAATAACATCGGGAACTTCGAAGAGAGAGAGAAAAGCCTCAGTCACCCTTCCCGGTTGGCCAAATTGGATTTTCATTTGAAGCCTACCAGTTTGCATTTGGCCGAGGCTGCCGTCAGCCTCTGGACGGGGAAGTTGGCGATGGGATGGAGAGCGAGGCCGACCAGGTGACCCTTGAGGTGATGCTTGTAAAGCTCTCGGAGAAGAGATTTGGGTGAGAGCTGAAGAATGGTCTCAATGAGGTGACTCGAAGCCTGGTCCTTCAGAAAAACCAGAAGGGGACTGAGGAATGGTGCAAAATAAAACAAAGCAAAATGAGAAATTGCTCCCCCCGCCCTACTCCTTCTGTTGTGCAAATAGAAAGAGAAAATCCAAGCCGGACCTCATTCCTGGAGCGGCAGGGCAACTTGTCAAGAATTCCACGATGCGCTTAATGAGCCGTTTGCAAAGTTTGGGCCGATTCCGGTGACACACGGTCAACATGGTCTGGAACACTGCACTGGCAACTGAGTCTGTGATGCTTACTAGCAAGAGAAAACACCAAAAGACAAAAAAATAAAATAAAAAAAACATTTAAAAATTCTTCAAACTGAATCCTTTGTCTCTCCAATAAAAAGCATTTGAATGTGCACAGTTTTTAGTTGAGCCACTAGATGACTGTCCTCCAAATGAGCATTTTCACAGCATCATCGCCATTATTATTTCATTTCACCCACTGACAGCTATCATACAAACGAATGCGCCGAGCTCATCCCTGCGCCGGTGCGTGTACAGCTTTAAAAACAAATCACGTGACCGATGCGTGAACTGCGTCGAGTCGGCAAAAAACACGCCAAACTGTGTGCGTCCATGGACGGGATACAACCTGCTGAAACGATTCAAAGCTCACAGTTCCTTCCTCCTGGGGAGACCAAATTTTACTGGACGATGATCTTAAAATGGCATTTTAACATTTAAAAGACACACCCTGCAAACGGCTTTGTAGTAAGGTTAATGAACACATGGAGGAAATCAGTGGAATCTTAAAACATGTTAGTAGATACTGTACTAGGTTGTCAGATCAGTCAAAAAAAAAGGGGGGGGGGCGGGCAGCATGTATGCTAGACTTACATTTCACGTTGTCCATCAAAGTCTCTGTGAGACTTTTTAGTTCATACCAAAAAGATGTCGGAATCTCAAAGTCAGTCAGCTGAGGAGCAGCATTGCGGTCTTTTGCACCTTGTAAATTAAAAAAAAAAAACAAAAAAACAACAACATCAACAATGCCAAATAGCATATCATATACAAAATGTGCGTGAAACCGCATGTGTGTGTGTGGCGCGCGCGCATGCGCGTTTACCTGGACGTGAATCAGTGCGGGGAGGCCCAACACAGCCTGCCAGCACATGCAAAAGTGTGCGGACGACGTGCGAGCCATGGACATGTCTGATGAACTCTGCGCTGTTGTCCCTCACGATTTGACTTAATGACAACAGCTGGACCTCCAGAGCCTCCTCACTCTCATCTTCATCTTCATTTGCTACTATGATTCAACACATATGAAAGAACATGATCAGAACAGCAGTTCTGAGTTTGAGCAATTAGGTGGCTTAAAAAAAAAAAAAACTCACAAAAAACCCCAAACGGGGATAAAAGAAATATGATGAGAGCCACTCGGAAGTAAAGCCATTGAGCATACCTGTCAACCTGGACACCTGTCTGATGGCGCTCTCCACGACATGGCCGCCGCAACGGTCACAGGAGATGGCTTTAAAGTCGGACCCCGATTCTCCACCCAGCTCAGCCATGACTTTTGCCACCTGATCAGGACTTGACAGCGGGAGCAGACGTTGCAGCGTGATGCTTCCGGTGCGATCCATTGCCACCAGGCTTGCTTTACCTTTGACTTCACTCAGAACATTTTCAACAAACATCCCTGCGGAAAAGATGGGAACGTGTCAAACACAGTTAATTCTGTGCACTGTTCGATGATATTTAATGTGTATAATATTATATAATGTATATACATATACACACACACATATATATATAAAAGCTACAGCTAAAATGTGCCTTTGCGATGACAAGGGCGTCGGAGAATTATTCAATACTACAGTTTTTTTTAATTATTATTATTGAAGTCATAGTGCCTAGCAGTGCAGAACTGCACTGGAACACACTAAATTGCTACTGCATGTTACCTACAATGGAGAAAATCTTACTCGATTATAAGGTCTAAAATGATCTCGACATGAGATGGCCTGAATTGAATTTTCCATCAAAATGCACTCCTAACTTGTAACATGGCTTCAAACTCACCTCTCTCCTCAGCATCTTCAAAGTCTTCATTCAATCGCTCCCCAACTCGCCGGTAATAACCAACACTCAGCGCATCGAGACGCTTTTTCCCAGCATCTCCTTCGGCTTTTAACTCATCATCAGCTTTTTTCCTCTTGCTCTCTCCTCCATAGCCTCCTTTCTGGACTCTCTTTTTATTACCTCCTTTTAGGGGCTTCTTCAGTTCTGCCTTTTCCAACATTCTCTGAATGAGTACAAAATGCAGCTTAGACAATCGACAACAAAATCCTCCAGAGGCTTTTTTTTTTTTTTTATCTTTTAAAATTATTTGGCCAAAAAAGATGACAGATGAAGTGAGACTTTAACTAGAATGTTATGAGAAAATTATTTGGGGGTGCAGGATTCACAACAATAGCAAACGTGCAAAGTGATTTTCTTAAGTGTGGTGTAGTCAGTTCCAAAACAAAAACAGTCCACGTGCAACGACAAATGTCGTCAAAGAAAGGGCGTGTAAACCAAAGCGATTCAGATGCGAAACTACTAAATTCATGTTCTAAAATCTAAACTACTTGTCGGACAGTCAATTCGATTTCAATCCACGCTGCAGCAGTTGAATCAATGTAATACTGAACAGTTTCTTCTATTATTATTTGGTGGTGAATTGGCTGAGCAGATAAGTGATACAATTGTTTTTGTTGTATATTTTAGAAGTCTTAAATCACATCGAGAAAGTTGGTTCATCGTGCCTACTCTATCTGCTAGTTTTGTGAACATGTATAACATAGCTAGGTACTGATAGGAATTCGAGCACGTCAAATTAGATATACAAGAAAACGTCCAAAATTGGTTCTGTAAAGCGTTTTAGAACGAAATTTAACATGCATAGCAAAATCCAAAACACGACAAAAGACGTACTCACGTGCAGTGCACGAGTTAAGCAATCCTACTTCCGGGTGTAGAGCGGAACCTTTCTTCTTCTATGATTTGTCAGATTATAATGTTGTAAAATTCCGCCACCTACAGGACCGGAACGTCACACAAGAGACGTCGACAACTGCATTCGTTTCCAGTCGTTTTTTTTTTAAATTTTGCTGCTCATGGATATTTTCCACGAGATTAATATAATAAACGATCAAACAACACTGCACACTATTTTTGTTTTTATTCTAATATGAATCTTTGTCATACTCATGTAAAGTGTAGTTGATGTGTAAATAATTGTAGCATTAAAAAGAGCACTGAACAAGTCTCTCAAGACACCAACATTTCACAGTTCGTTTTTTTATTTCTTTGCCTCAGCGCAAGGGAACGTTAACAAATTTAAACGTAAAAAAAAGGGATTCCGACCATGATCTGTAAGAAATTGTGAACGTGATATTTTTTCCCCCGCTAAATGGTACAAAAGCAGATACATGTTGTGAACTTTCTGTTGCATCTTCTCCTCATCTGCATCTATGAACAAAGCAAACATCAAATATGTGATACGAAATATTAAATTAGTCAACAAGTTTCCAGAGAAAGTAAACGGTTCACATAGACACTCACAAGTCACTTCAATAAACTACCACTCCATGAGCTACATAAAAAAGGGCTTGGAGGATGACCCAATTTATTATGAATTGTTGTAGTTGGTACATGAACTAAATAATTGTTCTGTATCATACCAAGTTGTATGTAATGTTTGTTTACCTGGTAGTTTTTTGATGCAAATGAGCCAGTGCTTACCCAGCCCCTGTCACTGTAGTGTGAGCTCAAGCAGAGTTTTAAAAGTGGGTGGAAATGTTTCAGACATCGTGACTTTAATGCGATATTATTTATTCCGAGCAATTTCGTGGCTCTATCCATAAAGTGACCAGAGAAAAATCTCGTGACTTTTTCTGCCTTTACGCGAAGCTATTTAGGGACTGTGGCTTCTTCCCAGTTGCAGACTGAAGACGACCACTAGGATGATGTATTAAACTCCGATTTGTGTGCAAATCTGTGTAAGTAATGCATGCTGTGCACCCATTGATGACAACTTCGCCAAACAATCAAGTATGTGCCATTTATCAGACCCTGATAATATCATGTAGGCAACTGCGAATCTGAGCATCAACCCATCAGCCCCGGTTAACTTTGGTGCTTTCATGTAGTTTGACCGTTGCTTGAAAATGGTAACCCTTCGCCTAGCTGCCAAGCCTACAGGCAGAGAAAATGTTGCGTTGGCGATATTTCGCAGAAATTCTATCACAATTTCTTCGGTACTAACAGTATCCTTGCAACGCGCAATGGCTCTCTGTACCTGTGGGTTATAATTTTTGTTGTTGTTGCTGTAATGCTAGTGCGGCTCAAACGATCTGAGATAAATTCATTGTGTGTTTTCACTTTAGTAAGTCCGCACAACACTTTGGGGGAAATTTGTGACCACTGGGGCTCATAGTAAATTATGTAAAAACGTATCACACACACACACACACACACCTTCAATCATAGGGGATACTGCAAATTAAAGCAATATGTTCAACCGATGAAATTCATGACGACGAGATGCAGGACAGTGTGGGCGAACAGAAAGTCAGCAAAGGCTCTCTCTGGTGAGATTGACAAGAAGTCTCCTTTGTTCTGTGGGTTGATCTGGATACGCAGACACACTGCAGAGACATAAGACATACACGATTAGCATTCATGTGTACTGTTCAATTCTTTGCAGCTATAGCACTTGAACCGCAACAGACAATTGTTTGCATAATTGCCACGCCTAACACCTGTTATAATTCTGCAAATATTAAGAGGTTAGCTGACCTCGCTTTTCAAAGCCGTAAAAAGCACGCCTAACACCTCTGTTATAATTCTGCAAATATTAGGAGGTTAGCTGACCTCGCTTTTCAAAGCCGTAAAAACGGCCACTTGCACAACTCGTTCAATTAGAAGAAATCTCAGTCCAATACAGTGTTCTTTTACCGGCGCGAATCATTATTGTGTGCCTACACTATGCTGGCGAACTAGGTCGCAAGTTCGCAGTGCAGATCGGAAAATAGTTAAAGTTGAAATGACAGTTTACCTGCGAGAATGAAAGAGCCCACATTGAAAAAATAAAACATGACACCCATAGACACTGTTAAATGACAGTTTACCTGCGAGAATGAAAGAGCCCACACACGAGATGAAGCCAGAGAGAAAGCTGTTGAAGGGGAACGTTCCAACGAGCAGACAGTAGAGGAACTGCAGCGCTCCCGTCAGCATGACATACAACAAATATGCGTCCACCACTTTCAACTTATTGGGCGTCGTAGCGGCGTATTCTTCAAGAAACCGAGAAATGACTGACACAACTGAGGCCGACATCGTTGCGCTTGCTCAATTATTTGGTCAAGTGCGGGCTTCAATGGAGGATTCAGCGCCGTAGAAGCTCGACGTGTCCGTAAAACACGGAAGTGGTCACAGTGCAACAGAAAAATGTCATCCGGCCGCGACATTGAGTCGGAACGCAAGGAGAGCGAGCATGGATTTGCTGAAATACAGATATGTCACTCTGATACTATTTTACTAAAGCTGTACATGTATTTTAACAACTATCTCTATTCTCACTAGTCTAAAAAATGAAAATAATAATTCCACATGCCTTTACTGTGTTGGTTTTTCTATATAGGTGTTGCTCATTTGAATCTGCTGAAGCTTTCAGATTTTTACAAAATATATATACACATTTAAATAGTTCTGTAGCAATGATGATTATACTCGAGTCGTTGAAGTTTAATAAATGTCGTGGTGGCGTTGAAGATTGCGTCATTACGGTGAGAAATGCTTCCGCCGACTCGAGTTGGTTTTGAAACGTGGCGTTCGAGTGAGGGCTCCTCTTATTTGTCGATCTTTGTACGAAGTCAGCTGATCCAAGGACGCCCAAGTTGCTAAACATTGGAATCGGCAGCAGCTCACGACGAGACGGTGACAGGAAGACGCAAGCACAAATAAATAACGAGTATAACCTGACCTCGTATTGTATGTAGTCACCAGGATACTTCTATGAATGGATCCGACTCCCTCTACTCCGGCACCGGCAGCATTCCAAAGCGACTGCGAGACAGGGTAAGGTTAAGTTATTTCAATCCCCCTGCTGCACTAGTTTGAAAGCGTCACACATTGACAGAAGGAAAGGCCTTTTCGATTCACGTTTGATTATTTTTTTGAGACATGGATGTGATTGCAATTTGTACAAAGAATTGAAGCTGTCATTTTACTAAATCGTACACGTGGGCACTGTTTGCCAATTAACAATAGAGTTTTTAGCGTTCGATAAAAATGGGATTTTTTTTTATAGTTGGCATTAATAATTCATTATTGCTCAAATAGGAACAGTAATGAAATAACAAATGTACGTAGCTAAACCGGTTTTTATAGACGCACGGGCGCCGTGATGCCTTTAGGTTTGTCGAGCAAGCACATTAACATAATTAATGATGTAACGTGCCAAAGTCTTGAAGCAAAGTGAAACCTTATTTATTTGCTTTGTTTTTCTTTGACAGGCCAGGTTCTGTTTGGGGCTGGTGGCCTTCCTGGCGCCCAACATCCATGTCCCTATTGAAGGCTACGGAGAGCAAGATTCTTAACTGTATGATAGTACTTCCATCTCCTCACGCATCATACAAACACCCCCCGCCCCACTTTTTCAGGCAGAATCTGAAAGTTTGAACATTTCGGTACCCCCTCAGAGAGAAAGAGAATGCATTGCAATTGTTGGAGAGAAACTAATCTACTTGCTCAGCACTGTCGGGATGCCCAATTGGATTTTAAAACAGGTGTAAGAAAAGAAGCCATCCTAGCCATTTCTAGCACCCAGTCGGGAGTGTACTTATTTTTTTCCTTAGTTATTCAGAAGAATTACGCAGACATGACACACCGGTAACTGGTTTTCACAAAACCTTTTTCAGGGATAGCATTATTGGCCAAGGAGTTCCGTTTTGGTGGAGAAATGATTTCCCATGGCTACATTTTTCAATGCTATAACTGACGGCACGCATTGGGGTGAAGCGGCGCAATGGCTGATTGCATCTTGCAGATGGAACTGCTGTGGAAAACCTTGTTTTGTGTGGCACTTTGGAATGAGAACGATCCCTTCCTACAGGGCAGTGAAGGAGCAGGAAGAGTTTTTTTTTCCCACCTCATGATTAAGACAGACATGTTTCGTATTTTTTGTCCTTTGCGGATGTCTGTACTCCGCTGAGTGCCCTGCTAACTTTCATTGTAAAGGCAAATTGTTGTTGGAACAGCTCATGTATTGAATCACATTAGACTACAGCGATGATGTATCGAAAGTGTGTTTCGCAGCTTCCTCAACACCTTCTAGAAGTTTTTTTTTAATCTCTCTCTCTTTCATTTTTCTGTTTTCAGGTATTCAAAATAATCTCTGGGCCAGGTTTGTGACCCTTCCGTCCCAAGATCGAATATGGACTCTGACCCTAACCAACAAAACGGTCCCAAAACCCGCAGAGCAAGGTGCTCCTCTCTGCCTATCCTCCTTTCCAACTTGTGTATCAGAGTGCAACATGCCGAATTCTTTCCAGATTTTTCAACTGTATCGTGTATCTTATCGGTCCCAGGCAAACAAAATTACATAGGCCTCATGTTGATAAATAATTGGTTTAGTTTTTAAAATCCAAACAACAATTCTGCCCCAAAAAAAAATAACAAGCACACTAGTTTGAACATATTCAAACACACAAAATGCCTTTTCGTTGCTAGCGAAAGTCACTGTTGAACTTGAAATTTAAGCTTAATTGATAATTAAACAGAGTTTGTTTGTTTTCATTCTCACAGTTTAATTCTTGCTATTGGATTATGAAAATGATGCCGATTCATTTGCACCTGTTGTGTGATAGATTCCAAAATGCCGCTGGTGATGGTCCATGGTTTTGGAGGAGGGGTAGGCCTATGGATCCGGAACCTGGATGCGCTGAGTCGCTCGCGGACGGTTTACGCCTTCGACCTCCTCGGCTTCGGCAGGAGCTCCAGACCTTCTTTCCCCTCTGACGCTGCCAAAGCAGAGGAGCATTTTGTCAACTCCATAGAGCAGTGGAGACAATCCGTCGGCTTGGAGAACATGATTTTGTTGGGCCACAGCTTGGGCGGATACCTGGCGACGTCCTATGCCATCCAACACCCTTCAAGGTCATTTGAAAGATTATTCAAGGCACACAAAGTTGCTCAGTGTCATAGATTGGACACACCTAGTTTCTGTGTTGTTGTGGACATCTTACTCGGGAATACACAAGTCTCATCCTCATATTCTTGCTTCTTTCACAAACGATATTTGAATTGGGTTTTCTTTTCAGTCAAAGCAGTGCAACTGAGCCTGGGACGTAGGCTTTATTCAGTTATTATTCCCAAAACTCATATTTCTGTCATCCAGTCACACATCTACAATATGGGTTGTTTTTTTTTTTTTTTTTGCCTTCGATGTTAAAAATACTGCAGCAATAGATTATGCAATAGCGTTCATTCTTGTGCTCTCTTCCAGAGTGTCGCATCTCATCCTGGTCGATCCCTGGGGTTTCCCCGAGAGACCACAGATCCAAAGCCATGAGAACCAAGGTCAGACCACAGAGTTGGTCAAGAGGCCGTCTCCACCTCGCTGGGTAAAAGCCATCGTTTCCGTCGTCTCCCTCTTCAATCCTCTGGCTGTCATCCGAGCCGCAGGCCCCTGGGGTGAGACCGACTATCTATGCACCGGCCTTCTTTGCGCCACGCAACCCATCCTCTCACTTCAGTGTGTCGTTTCTTCAGGGCCGGGATTGGTGAACCGATTTCGTCCGGATTTCAAAAGAAAATTTGAAGACCTGTTTGATGACGACACCATGACACAGTACATCTACCACTGTAACGCGCAGCCCCCGAGGTATGTCAACGCACAGTTACACGACAACGAGACGAGTGAAGTTGCGTGCAACATGCATAAAAACAGAATGTCATGATTTGCAAATCACGTTCAACCTATAGTGAATTGAGTACACCATAAAGACTGATGAACTTTGTTGTTTTTTAGCAAATAATCATTAACTTGGATTTGTTTTGGGCTGTGCCAAAAAAAGCTGGGACAGGTGGCATCAAACACCCGTTCGCAACACCTCACGGGTGAACGGGCTCACTGGGCGCCATGATTGGCTCTATCACTGAATTGCTTCATTTTCAAGCTGAGCTGACGTTCACCTCTTTGTGAACAAGTGCGTGCGAAAATAGCCAAACAGTTTACAGGACAATGTTCCTCAATGTACAATTGCACAGAGTTTCACGATGTCATCATCTACGGTCCATAATATCCTCGGAAGAAATCACATCATGTTCTAGTCGGCAGGAAGGCCGAAAAACCAACATTGAATGCCCGTGACCTTCATTCCCTCAGGCAGCGCCGTATCAAAATCTGGGCAAGGTTGATCGTTAAAATGTGTAGATAAGTCATCTTAATGGAACAGAGCACACTTTTTTTTTCCCCATCCACCCCCTCCGCCCATTTTCAGTTTGCCTTTCTTAATTCCAGCATATAGCAGGGCTACACAATGGCAGCTTGTTAAAACAATACCAAAAAAAAAATCTATTTTACAAAAAGCCATTCCATTCATATTCAAGACAGTTGACTTGCAGTATGGGACCATGTGAACACGCACTCAGGCTGCCATCTTGCGTCCATATATTTTTTTTGCACCACGGACCGCTTGGGTGTAAGGATGTATCGCAGCGGAGATAACCGTCTCACATTCGTGTTCCCGCAAACGTAGCCTTGTCCAGCCAGCCGCCGCGACAGTCGTTGGTCGGCTCCGATGCGAAGCGCCAACTTCAAAATGAAAGCGAGACAAGTAATACCTGCACCCTGATATCTAAACTCTTTACTTGACCTCCCTTTTCAAATGATGTCCATTTTGCTTTCCTTCTCTGTTCCAAGTGGCGAGGTGGGTTTCCGGGCCATGTCTGAATCTTTGGGTTGGGCCAAGAGACCTATGCTGCAGCGCATCCATTTGTTACCCAGCTCCATGCCGCTCACCATTCTTTACGGAGCGCAGTCGTGGGTTGATAGTTCCTCTGGGGACAAAGTGGTTCAGGTTCGGAGCCCCGCTCGCACCAAAGTGCTGGTGAGTGCAGCAGTCTCAGTTCCGAGGCGGTTATCGAATTATCAACCATAAATTGGCTGCCCTGCTTGAAATGACTCTCACTCTTATGTAATTCACGCTTCAAAAACTATTTATCGGGGAAAGCCGTATTGCTCCCCGATGGTCATCTTTATTTCCTTTTACATATCAGTCATCTTGAAATTTGTTTTCCTCTGCAGCTGATAAATGATGCCTCTCACCACGTGTATGCCGACCAACCGGAGAAGTTCAACAGAGTGATCGAAAATCTATGCAACTCAGTCAACTGAATCGAGTTTGTGGGGAGTAATACTGTATATGTCTACTATGTACTGTCTGCATAAAGCCAAGTTCCCGAAGGTTTCTGAAAGTGCAGTGTATCTTCGGATAGTCTTCCATGAGTAGGAATGATGTTATGTCCTCATGTCATATTAATAAGTTTCATTTATTTAATAAAAACTCTTTTTTTTTATTGAGCACTTCATGTCTTTTTAACCTCTTCAGGCATCTGCAGTATTGAACTCTAAGTATATTTCCATTCTTGGCGGGAATGAAAAAGCAGACAATTTGTTGTTTTTCATTTGCTAGATTTAAGCATATATGACTTGGGGAGGGCGGGTGGTGATTATTACTGTAATATTGAGCGCTTTGGCCAGATAAAATATCCATTCATATTTATTTAGTGTTTTACTTTTGCTGATTGCCTCTGTAAATTTAAATTTAGCTTGTGACCGAATTTTGTACTTTGAAAATAAAACTTTTTTTCCCTCTGTGCGAAGAATGTTTATGAAAAAAAACCAGTTTAAACAGAATTATGCATAATCCATGCATAATCCAAATTGAGATTCAGCAATTTTGTTTGTAAATCTTTTCATCATCTTGTACAAAGCGCAATTGGTTGTATGCATTTTTTGTCATATAGAGCCAGCTTGAAATCATTTAGTCCTCACTAGCCGTAAGGAATTTCTACTGATTTTTGATTTTATACCAGACTTTTTTTTTTTTTTTTTACGTGGCTCGCTCCTGAAATTGTGCGATTTCAACTCTACCGTTAGATGGCAGCGGTGTTTCTTGGTTAGCCCCCCGTCTTCGATTTGAAGACAGATATCCTGGGAAAAAACAAACACACTTAACGATCGCCTTATGCGTAGAAATAGTCGCCGTTGAAATATTTTACAGATTGAAATCTCAATTTATCATCTTTTAAAGTACTGCAGCTTGAAGCAGTGTAAACTTAGTGGAATGTCTCAAGCATCTGCTTCATGATGGATTGTGCACAGTGTGGCGATAGATGAGCTAGTCTAGATTCTTTGCCTTGATAACTTTGGAACCATCTCACGTTCGGGATACATCAGATCACGAATAACATCTGTATTTGTTTTTAGACATTTTACTCACTAAAATTTGTTTCCGGAATGCTTCGAGGTTGTTAGGTTCCCACCGAACTGAATAACGTTTTAGGATTCGAATATGCAGGCTCGGACAAAATGCGATTGTAAAAATGCTTACTCAAGAAAACAGGAGCGACAAAATATTAACGGAAGTCGCTGGTCACAAGGAGCCAGGAACGAACAGCGCATGAAACAAAAAACACTTGCAACGGCAAGGTTCAATAGAACACAGAATATTCGCCAAACGAAATGTCAATCACACGAAAACAATCAAGAGCAATAGTAAAATAACAAAATACAAACAGGGAAACGAGAGCGACTACGACTTGTATTGTGAGGTCAAGAAAGTAACACTTGAAACTCACCAGCGAGCAAGGTCAACAATCCCGACAAGGAATTGCAGAAATCGGAGTCCTTCAATACCCAGCCAAGCTCGATGTGGTAACGAGGAACAGGTGCACCTGCTGGAGGGAAACGCCCTTCACTCCAGCTGGCGTCGGAGCGCAATCAAGACGAACATGACGGAGGTGCAAGTTATCGTTGCCTTGTTTCTCCCTAATGTCATTTGTGTTATCCCTTCTCACCTCAACAGCAATTACCGGCTTGCCCGATGGCGAGTGAAAAGAAGAACTCAATTCAACCTTTTAGTGTCCAGCTATAGTTTTATCATCATCTTAGGCCATACAAAAAAATAAATAGTAAAATGGTAGTGAAACAGGTTCCTTCACATTTTATCGCGAGTTCGGTGAGGTTGAGTAGATTGTAATAGCGAAAGGGGTCAGCTCCGTCGGGGTCAGTGTTTTCAATTCTCATAATGATACCTGACAGTCTTAACATGATACAGTAGTGTGCTTACTTCATCGTTAGTGTACACATGAACATCAATACTATTGTGAAAGAAGCAAAACAAACGGTTCTAGTCTTCTATGGTAATGCAGGAGGCGACACGTGAATGAGGCTTCTGCATTTTTCCCTTTTGAGCAATATTCTTTCACAAACAGGAGAAGCGTGTCTTTTATGAAATAAAGCAGAAGAAGAAATTGCCACTGAGGCCGTTAAATTACAGTGCATCCAAACCTTCTATGCTCTCTTGGTGTCCTTGTGAGGTTCACTTTGTCTGAGAACACGTTTCACATGCTTATGTCAGTTTCAAACACGCAGTAGAAAAAGGAATTAAAAATGTTTGTTCAGTTATGTTTTTTCAGTGCGAAAAAATGGTTTTGACCTTCATCGTGAAAATTTTTGATTAAACAAAACAAAAAACAAAAAAAAATTGTGCTACGTGCTTTCAGTAACACGAACACTGTGCGGTGTGTTTAAAGCAAAAATATGATCATTTTCTACTCATGTTTTTTTTCGCAGCTGCACAAAGTGCAAATGTCCATATATATGAACAGAATACTTCATATTGACTTCATATTTTACAGGCGTCAGTGAAGAATGTGACAAGAGGCGATGCAGCTAGCCGCCTCTCATTGTTCCAGAACAACGATGTCGGCCACTCCGTGCACTTGCGTGAGCTGTTTGCAGTCGAGAGATGCCACCAGTTTCCTGGGCCCGGGTTGGGTCGGGACGAAGTGTTCTGTCAGCGTCACGGTGGAGTGACCGCTCACGTCACTAAGACAAATGAGTGACAAGTCAACCATCAAGTAAACGGATCGATAGAAGGAAGTATGTGTTTGAATTGGATAAGCGGTCCTACCCCACAAACACTTCGTGGCCTTTCTGCAATCCGAGTCCTTCCACTCTAAAGAGCACGCCATTCAGCATCCTTGGCAGCGGGTTCGTGAACGTGATCTTGGCTGCCATTTCCTTACCGACCACAGCTTCTCCCAAAGGCTGCCGAGCATCGATTCCGAATTGATAAGCACGTATGCAAACAAATCTGATCGCGTCGTGAAGTGAAGTGAAAAGCCCACCGTGATGTTGAGATCAGGTGTCAGGAGCCTGAAGCACGTCTGGTTGGCTAACACTTGCTTGGTCTCGTTGACTCTTCCGGACAATGTCAGCATCAGTGCTGCCTGATCCACCAGCTGGTTCTGGTATTGTTGATAAGGCAAAACCCACTCGATGGTTTGTTCTGTGTGAAGACAAGAGAGGAACGAGTTGGAAAATGCTCATGTTCACCGGACCCTCGGAGAGTCCGTGCGCGTGCATAGACAACCTTCAGCACTCTTCGTTGTTGTTGAAGATGTTACCGCTGCCGGGAATTGGCCAGTGGTCTTACCGATCCTCTTCTAGACCAGCATATTTGTACAGACGTGTCCTTTTTCGCATATACACACGCAAACCATGACAGCGGTGGTATCTTCTTGGCATCAGATGTGACTTTAAGGCTTTGGTGTGATATTTTCACAGCATATGCTAAGCTCTTGTGTTGTCAAAAGATGGAATCACAGCAGTAAAATACACTCAGCGTGCAGTTCACCAGGTGCACTTGCGCAATCAATGAAACATTTCAACAAGAGTTCCATCAATATCGTTTATAATGATGTGATGCAGTCCCACACCTCTTCAATCTGAAATTGCACTCGTGGAAACAAACTTGGCACTTGTTAACTTTGTAAAGGCTGGTTTTTGGATTGTGAGTCTTTTTTGCACTTTCAAATGTTACATAAGACCTGCACGTTATTTAATCCATCCATGCATCATCCATCCATCCATCCATCCATCCATCCATCCATCCATCCTTCCATCTATCCAGCCAACCGAATCCAAACCCACCCGTCCCTCCATCTTCTGTACCATTCAACACATTGAGGATCACAGGAAACTGGGGGCTGGAGACGATCCCAACCGACCTGGGGCAAAAGGTGGACCCTGAATTGATCACCAGTCAGTCATAGGGCATGTATAGAGAAACATGCAAACACACTCACATTCGCACCATCATGGAGTGGTAACTGAACCTACGCTGCCCGCACGAAAGTCATGTGACTCCAGACCACCAGACCGTACTGGAAATCAAGTTTATACCTGAACAATTCAAAGCCACCTCGATGAGCCACGTGGGTCCATTTTAGTGAAAACCAACCTTCATTGGGCAAAAGCTCCACTGGCAACTGCTCCTTCTTGATGGTGCCCTTCACCACACCGGTGTAGTACATGACAGCCACCTGACAGTGCAGCGTAGTTCTACGGGGCTCAGAGCTCAGGTTCTTCACCACGATGCTCAGCCGGGCGTCGGCCCCCATTCTGGGCCCCTCTCCCTCCATCCTCACTTCTACGCGGACGTCCTCTGCCATGGGCGAGGAGTAGACATCTGGCTTACTGCCAAAACGACAAGCAGTCTCTACGGCGATACGTTCCTCCTCTGAACCTGGAAAAAAAAAAGGCGGGAGAATGAGTCAGCGGATTATAGAGTAATAATGATCGTGCTTAATCAAAGTTAACAATGATACATCGCAACGGAGTATTCACCGATGAAGCCCACTCCATGAGCATAGCACCGTTAGAAAAACAAAACAGACGCTGGTACCTTCTTGATGTTTGTACAAATGAGTGATGTCAGCGCGCTGGTCAGAGCCCACTGCTTTCGTGCTGATAGAGTGGCCAACGGCCTTCTTCTCACTGTGGATCTGGCTGAATGTACCATCGGGATTCCTTTGCCAGTAGATCTTGTCACTGTTGACCTAATAAAGGAGTAACATTTCAACGGTCAGAGAACAGGGTTGACTTGCCTTTTATAGAGCCGATGAAGTCTACAGAAAGCGAGGACATATGAAGACTAGCCCACCTCTGCAAAAACAAACGGTGTGTCATGTTTGAGGTAGACTTGGCCAGAGCGGATGGCGGTGACCGAGGCAGGGCCACAGCGGAAGGTACCCTGGCTCGTCTCCTGGGGGGTGGAGTCGACAGCTTGCCAGCCCCCGTGACCGTGGGGCAAGTCTGGCCTGGCCATCCAGCAATCATTCCATACGTGGAAATTCCTAAATAGCAACAGGTTTAACATAAATATCATTCTATACATGCTCTAGCTTGGTTTTCTTCTTGGGAAAATTGAGTTAATTCCAGTATGAAATTGATAACCTGTCAAAAAGATTTCTGTGAATGTTTTTTTTTTTTGTTTTTTTTTTTTAACTTGCCTAAAATTGTGTAACTTTTGTTGGCAAATACTTGCTAAGAATTGCACCTTGTGGGATGTAATGAATGGATGAATGGCTATCTATCTATCTATCTATCTATCTATCTATCTATCTATCTATCTATCTATCTATCTATCTATCTATCTATCTATCTATCTATTTTGCTAGCTAGCTAGCAAAATAGCTAGCTACCTAGCTATCTCCCCAGCTATAATATAGCTAGCTAATATGAAATAGCTAGCTAATATAAAATAGATAGCAATGCCTCGCGCCAGACTTGAACTAAGCATGAAAATAGAACTCCGTGAATGAAACAGCTTTATGTGGATGTATGAACCTACAGTGTTGCTTCCAAGTTACATTGCATAATATTCTGTTACTTTTCATAGGTTATCAGTTTAATACGGGCAAACTCATTTTGAGTTATCTCACAAATTTTGAGAGTATTTTGCAAAATGACCGGTCACCTTCTTTTTGGAAGATGATAATTTTTTATGAACTCTAAAAACAGATGATTGAAATAGCATGACAAGTGCCCCCCTCAAAGTTAAGTGGATCTTTTAGCATATCTAAATATGAAGTGGACTCTGGTATGGAGCAGGCCATTTTGCCAAAGCAGGATGTCCCAGGTCATACCACATACCGCATACCACGTGACATAACTTACCAGACGGTATCGCTATTGAGGTAGTCGATTGGCTCCATATCCTCATCAAAATAAACATCCGTCGTGAGGGACACATCAGTGTCATGAGCGGACTGGAAGTTGGTCACGCTGCGAGCAGGTATGCCGAGACAACGGAGAACTGCAAACATCAATAAAAAAGACAATGATCTAGTTGTCAAAATGAATTTGAGGGATGATTTCATGTTTCAATTTTGAGTTTCTTGATCACAGCGTGTTTATTTCTCCTCAGGTGACATTTGCATGATTGTACTGCACTGTGCTATGCTGGTTGAGTGAAAGTGACACACGTTGCTGTATGAACGCCCAAAGTAGAAGGTATGACAGGAATGTCACTGTGAAGTATTTGGGGTGGAAATGAATTATGGCTATCAGTGCTTAGGTCAGCTGCATCATGCTATCCTGCGGACACGCACACACATTGAGGTTTGCAGCCTGAGTGAATGAAACAGGCCCGGCAGAGAGAACAGCGCCAGTGTGGAATAGGTCCCACTGTGAATGCATCTGGGAGGGCGTCTCGGAGTCTTCGATATTTCCCAGTCACAGTGGGAACAAAAAGCTTACTCGGAAGACGGCAAATCTGGCACTGCTGAGGTCAACCCTGTCAGCGTACAAGAAATATGGCTTCACACTTTCCTTCCTATTTGCTCCCACGCTCACCTGATGTCGTGACTCCGGAGAAGACCCAACATTGCCCATATGACACAGGCATTCCATTGGAGGAGTGGTATTTTCTCAGAATCTCCACACTGCCGCTCCATGCAGCCGGAGACACCCCATCAGAGTAATTCCCGGACCATTTTCCGATTAGAACTCCATAATCGTCTAGGGCGTTTATCTGGAGAAAATATATGCAATTGATGTACCCGAAATACCCACATAGTCTTCAAGTATGTGTCAATGAGTACGATGCCTTACCATGGCTGATATGACCCTGACAACATTTACAGGATCCCCCCGGCCAGATGGAGGCATGTCACTCTTCTCCAGAACGAATAGACAGGCTTCCAAGATTCCCTCTTGAAACTGCAGCGAAGAGATATATATCATTTTTTTATGTCATATTTTTCATGAACGTTTAAAGTATCGGCACTGACACTGACACAACCAACAGGATGACGCTACAAAACAGGGTCATTGTCATTTCTATTTTCGCAGGATTTGTCCATTTTTAAAATAAGTGATTTTGTACTATCCAGAGTGTCCTTACTTGACCAAAATTCCACGTGCGGGCTCCAATTTGATTCTCAGTTCCATAATAAATTCTTCCAGTGTCATTCAACACATACTCCTTCCTCTCCTCTTCATCATCCAGGAATACTGTGTCCTCTGAAAGAGACCACCATTTGAAATTGTTACGTTTCCTTTGGAGTATGATGATGATGATGATGATGATTATTAAGAGTAATAGTAGTGGCAGTAGTTGTTTCTCATCCGCATCAGTTTGTCCTTGAGGTCACAGCTTTGGCTTCCTCCCTTTCTGTGAAAGAAGCCCAGAAAGCCTGGCCTATTGACCTCTTTCATGACTAAATCTCTGAAGAATGTGATTTTTCACTAAAAATGGCAGAATTTCAACCAAGGGCAGGAAATGGTTCACAAACATGGGCCCCAGTTTTTCCGGGGCAGAGTTGGATGTTGATTCTGCACATGTGGCATTTTTATGCCATCTCTTCGATCGTATTGTTGCTACAATGGACGGGAAACATAACACAGCAAAGATAGACAAGCAGACACGGTAAATATAAGGTGTTTATGGCACAAAAAAAAAAGTGGAAGGAAGAGCTTCCAGTCACGAGGGACAGTTAAGAGAAAGAGGGGAAGTGTGATAGGGGGGGTGAGGGGTGGAGTAAAGCGAGCCATCTTGCAGGAGATCTTTGGCAGCTGCGATTCTTGCCGTTCACTCCGCGTTGAATATTTCTGAAAAGTATGTTGGAACAGAAACTCGCAGGAGGATCAGGAGGAGGGGAGGGTTCTGCGGTGAAAGTTTGTGTGGAGGTCATTTCGGCCTGAGCGGCAAAACTGGGTGGGGGAGTCTTATTTAAGAAAGAGGAAACACAGTTCAGCAGGGTAGAGGACAGGTTGTCACGAGCTGTAGAACTGCGTGCACGTGCATGGCGGTGTTTTACGCATTATTCTGGTCGGACAAGAGCACGAAACGTAAACATTCGCTCCGCTCTGACCACAAGACTTTGATTCCGTTCACTATCTCACCTGCACACCAAGGGTTGAAGAGCATGATGATGTTCTTGCTGGAGGTGTAAATATTTGGAGTTTCATTTTTCAGGGGGCTCGTTGTGACCGTCAGACCATAAAGACCAATCGCAGCATTGGCTGTAGACTTGACAGACAACTTAACCTTGTTGTTTTTCTGCTCTTCAATCTTCGCCCCCCATCGTTTGTTGTCCAAGGTATCCACCAGTGGGATGATGACATGGGTCCCTTTGGACACCTGTGGTAGTGGACCTACAAAAAAAAAAAAAAAAAAGTAAGATGTCAGGCAAATTGAACCAAAGTAATCAAAAAGTAAAAATTGATTTGACAAAATGGAAAGAAATTCATGGTGAGTCAGAAAATGAACTTCCCAGAATACATTCGGTTTCTGGCTTCCCAGAAATTACCAAAATAAAATATCTTAAAGAGAAAATATCTGTCTAGAATTATTGTATTTAACGTTCACATTTCAGAGTCCCGATTTCACGTCATTCATTTTCCATTTTCCGATTTGGCAGACAATGAACACCTTTTTAACGTTAACTTCATTATATCGAGCAGATTCAGATGCCTTGTCATGAGGTTTGACTGGATCTGCTGTCCTTTTACTCGTCATGAGGAAATGAGAGAATCAAATTGATCAAGATTCCATTGTTCTGCACCAGAGGCCTTACAACGCCACCCTTCCTCTCCCAATGCAGAACATTACTGACAAGAAAAATCAATAAACCAACTCTCCTTTGTTCATATTGCTTAATCGTTGACAAAAAAATCTTTCCTTCTATTTCAACCAGATAATGATTTGAGAAACTACGGCATGACAACGTTCTTTTTCAGCAAATGGTGCATTGAAAGTTGCACGAATGATGAGTTTGTTGAAAATGACACAGCCGAGATGGGTGTGACGTCCCATTTTTCCGTTGTGATGCAATCGACATTATACTACAGAGAGTGGAGTAGCTCATTGTAGCACACGGCCTGAAATTACAAGAGTGAGGTGTCTGATATCTTGAGCTCTGGAAACTGTTAAGACCAAGGGTGGAATCCAAACCTTGTGACATCACCACAGTTGTTTTGTTTAAGTCGAATCTCGGCACCCTTCCTCCGTTTTGTTTTGGCAGGCGTTGACTTGCTTGACTCAAAATCAGGGACTGTAGAGGCCATGTCGCATTCAGATTCGAGGCTGTTGGATTCTTTAAATGAATATCTTTATGGTGAAGGAACTTGAACTTCAAGAGCGCTTTTCCAACGACAACACAACTACTGACTCCTCATTTACCACTGATGAAACAGCTTTGGGAACAACTAGGGGGTCAGTATCTCTCTCTAGGACACCTCGACATAGTCACAGGGGCTGGGAGTCGAACCCACAACCAGTAGGTTGCAAGATGACTACTCTACCACTGAGCCATGATTAGGTCCTCTACCTTCAGAGGACCTAGATGAGTTTAATCATTCAGTATCTCATAAGTAAAATATCTCTTTTAAGACCACTACTCAAAAGGCTTTGGTCCTGACCTCTTAGACTGCATAGCTTCCATGGATTGTGGAGTGGCCGAGATGTATATTTGAATAGCAATAGAACGTAGAAACTCATGGACCCTGACGTTTGCAGATAACATGGTGATCTGCAGTGACCCTGTGATCCTCGAACATAACGAAACGCTTTCATGCGTAAAATGACCTAACCCCTCAACTATGTTTACCGATGTATTTCCCAGAAGGTGAATGCCCCAGACCTTATATCGCCCATATGTGCATAGTGGGGACATTACCGTGGGGTAGTTGTGACACACTCATACCTGTTCTGAGATCTAGATGCAGCTTGTCGGTGTCAGCGCTGAAGGGCCTGTTGAGCTCTAGCTCGATTTGGAACGTCTGTCCTCTGCGGATGATCAGCTCTTCTGTGTGGTACAGGTCAGTGTGGTGCTCCTGTCTGTTCGTTCCCGTCTTGGAGCTCAGCAGATCCACAGAGCGCACGGACAACTTCACGACTGCGGAAGAAAGATGGAAAAGCATTGAAAGATTTGATAACAGGACTTCAATATCACTGACCCCAAACGTTAATGGACATTACCTTCCATTTCCTTTGAATCTCCATTTTCTGGCTTTGGCCCATCAAGTTCTGGAATAGGTGTGGGAGGGTTTACCAGTTCCACTTTATCCGTGACATCATAGGTATTGCTCTTCTGGCATTTACAGCAGCATGGACACATTTTCCTAAACCAGCGGCGGCAAGCCGTGTCCTCTGTTGTTTTTTCCCCTTCCTTGTGAATGGACAACTCCACCCTGGTGGGCGGGGCTGCACCAGGAAAGCGCCCCACATCAGATATGCGTCTGACTGTCAACCTCTCACCTGGCATCCTTTCAACAACACCATCATAATTTATTTCAGTCAAGACAGATCATCATCAGAATATAAAGTGAAATATGAGGAGATCGCTAATATTGTCTAGTCTGATGTGTTTGGAGTCCTGATGCCCCTGTCTGGGCGTCCCGATTTTGGTAACAGAAAGTAGAGTGTGCACGGCGTCAAAACGGGCGCATCTCCAATCATCAAAATCCAATGTTCTAGTTTACCATGTTTGTGAATTTGGTGGACGCGCTTGGCCTCGCTGGGCGTTCCTGCCGCATTCAATCATCAACGGATTAAAATTCCTTCAAATCATGTAGGCCTCCATTTTAATTTTTCATTGCTGAAATTTTTTTGGTTTTGAGAAGGAGATACAGAACAGTCCATAAAGCTTTTGACATGCCGTCTATGAAATATTTCCAAAAATATTGAGCAAGTGCGACGGTCTTGGATCATTAATTGTACAAACATTATTGTGCAAGTCAAGAAAAAAAAAAATAACACACATTTTTGCCATTCCTCCTTGGATGACCCGAGAGAATGTTCACAATGATTGATGATCAGTAGTTAATGTCCTGTTACTTGTTAAATATTAGCATTTGCATCAAACAGGCTCAAGACTGTGATGTTGGAGGAAAGTCAGCGATGGTGAAGTTATGCAGTCTTGTTCAGAGGTCAGAAAACAGATGAGCGGAGGGTGTGGTTTCTCCAGTCACAGCCACCCTTGAACATCTATTCAAGTATCGAACGTGTGTAGTTGCTTTGTGTGTGGTAGCTCTCCCTCTCACATTTAGTGTGTGTGTGTGGGAGTGGGTGGGGGGGGGGTTGAAATCCGTCATTTTGACTTCCTGAGTTCAACTCTTAGTCAGATGATATTTTGCACAATTGGTTGCTTCCAAATGAAGTACTTCTTTGTAAATATTTGGCTTAACCATTCATAGTCATTGTAATGGAGACAATGGCAGACGTCGACTGTGTGGACAGCATTGTCTTTGGACATCTATCCATAACTACGGCCGTCCTTTAAGGCTTTGCTGCCAGTTATTTTCGGCTAAAACTAAAAATACATCATTACTAATGGATTAAAACAACCTTCTGACAACGATAATTATGAAGAATTGCACCAATGTACGTGCCAGGTCAATACATTTTTGTCTCTTTTCATAACTGGCATAATTCCTGTGCTGTGCATTGTGTATCTGCGCAGAGGCAGGCGATAGCCACATAACTGAGAGGAAAGGCTGCGCCACTGTGAGAGTGGTCACAGCTGGCTTCAGTACTTCAAGGAACCAAATATGGTAATTTTTTGGGGTTGGTTTTCTGCAAGACATTGGACATTTTCGAAAATGTTGAAACCAGAAATACACTGTGGTTTTTGCCTCCAATAACACTTTTTTTTTAATAGTATTTCAGGCTATGCCATATAAATTAAGCTCATTACTAAGATCGTTTTCTTAGCATGGACACTTGAAATAAAGTACTTTGATAAAAAATGAATATCAACATTAACGCATGACTATAGGAAGGGCACCAACAATGGCATATTCGACGAGTCGTCAGCTTTCCGTTGCCGCGGGAGTCATTTGGGGGAGTTGCGTGCCTTAAGTGTATGCGATAGCTGCTACATTAAACAGATTATGCTATAAACCTTGTGAAACCCCAAATGATGCATTTCAAACCATCTGCCCTGACTCCCTGAGGCATAAAATGTTTTTAACTAGCTTGAAATGAGTTTGGAGCCTTTTTCACTGCCCATCACAAGAATGCAAGTCACTTGGTCCTTTCAACTGCCTCTACGCGCCCACTCCCTCTCTTCTCAGCAAGTTTATGTTGGCAAGGCACCACAACCGGAATGCCGGCTGCCCCCCTGAGATAAGCGCCTAAAACTCCGCTTCTGTCCTTGTATGTGTGCTAACGTCTTGTTCTCTTTGTTCATCTAACTAACAGACCACCCGATGCCCCGTTCCCGCCAAAAAAGATAAAACGCCAAAAGGAGCGGCACACGGTGAGGTTATGCGTCCCGCTCAATCAGGCAAGACAAGGGTCATGTGTAGCCGATTAGACACCACACAACCGGCCAGCTGGCATCTGAACTCTAATCATCTGACAAAGCATAACACGGCAAGCACCATCATCTGATTTTTTTTTTTTTTTTTTTTTGCAGGATGTGAAGGCTTCTTGTTTGTCATCTAATAGTTGAGGAGAGCAAATTACATTCATCTCGCTGGTGAGCTTCAGCTTCACGCTTGAATCTCTTTTAAATCTACAACAGGATGGCTGTTTCCTTATTTTGCCCGCCCGAGCCTTTTGCAGAAGTACTCAAGCTGTCTGTTTCTCTCTGTGCCTTTTCTCAAGGGAACCCTGCTGTGAACTACCAAAGGTTACGAGGCCTCCCTCTCTTTTGTGGGAAAGAAAGCCGGTATTTACAGTTCTCATCTAGCCGTTAACAAGATCAATGAAGCAAAAAGGAAACCAAAGTCTTACTTTCTCTGTTAAGGATCAGTGTTGAAGAGTCTGCTTCTTATCCCCTCAAAAAACTTTGAGGAACTGTTCTCTCTCCCACTACTTGCTGAGACTACTAAATATGACAGTCCAGGAATGCACCGCACGGGATTTTAAGCTCTCACACACCCACTGGAACACACTCCGCCCCACCGCGAAGGGCTGAAGTTTCTCCCACTCTCACCAAGCTGTCCCTTTCCAGCACTCAGCACGCCTTGGGGATTGCGTAAAACAGAGCACAAAGTTGGGGTGAGAGAGAATGACTGATATGTAACAACTACAATAATGTAACAATGCACACTATGTATCCAGTAAACAAGGTTGCCTCATTTTTTTGCGGATGATAAGTTCCAAATCATCAGGAGGAACGCAACTTGAATCGCCAATACTTAGCCAAGTATGGATTTCATTAGCCACCAGAATGGTCTGTATTCATTCAGCTTGGAAAACTGCTTTGCATGGTGGACCGCATTATGGGGACCCAAGCATTGTTTTTAAAGACAATATTATGCTGAGATGTACTGAAAACACAGATTACTGTCCACCATTTTTATGAAAAAAAAATGTAATATGGGAAAATAACAGTCGAAATATCGAGGTACAAACCTGAGATAAACTCCACAATGCACAAGTTATGGTCACAAATTATAAGCCCACAACTGAGTGAAGCTGCAATCACCGAACCACATAAAAAAGTTGTTTATGGTTGATTCACACATTGACTAAAGGCTCTTTGTTGCTGATCATAAAAACAAAACTTTGTCATGCAATTCGACTTGTGCTTCAAAAGTCACACCACACTCTGCTTTTGGATATATCCTGACACTGTCGGAAGACAAAGCTTTTTTCGTTCATGCCATTAGTTCTGCATGTTTTTCTTGCCATAACAAGGGAAGACTTATTACATACACACAAGCCCACCCCCCACCACCCCAAAAAAAAACCCAAAATAAAACAGAGCATGTAAAGTTTTACTGATCTCGCTGAACTGACAGCAGCGCGATGACCGACAGGGTCAACATTTCCATGTTTTGGCAAGCAGAGTACGTGATTAGAAACATAAGGCGGGTGGTGAATTGGGTTCCCTGGGCATCTGGGGGGAATGGGCTCCGGCTGGCAACCTTTGGGGGAAACCATGGCCAAAAGAAACTGCTTGAAATGACGGTTTCATCAACCAGACTCTCCTCTATGTTATCTGGAGGTTTTTGGCATGCACTCTCACTCATCAAGTAATTCAATTCACATTGATTTGTTCCACCGAAACAAATACTGCACGTAAGCATGGGAACCACTGTACCACAGTTCTGTCAAAAAAAAAAGAAAAGAAATGAAATCCAATATGTTGAACAGAATTCTGGAATATAAATCCCGACTACATTTCACTTTCTTCCTGCTTCCCTTTCAAAATTAAATCCAACTGTGGTTTCGACATCACGGCGGGTTTGGCATGAGTCGTCACATCCTTCGATGTTTGTCAGCACTCATGTTACTGGCAGGAGGAGATGATGTCGACCTGCTGTGGGTAGTGAGTCATTCGATTCGTAACATAGTGACATCAAGAGCCCGGCGAGATTTTCAGTGTGGTGACGAAACGTGTCGGTGTGCTTTCGTGTAACATGTGCCAAACGTGAAGGTTTGAGCTGTTCATTCAGTTTTCAGTGCGTGGCTGATTCATGCGGCGTGGTTGCTATGGAGATGAAAACAAACAAGACATCAGCGCATGAGCATTCGCTTTTGTGCCCCTGTCTGCTGTTTGCCTCACTCTGTCGCTCTTGCGTTAAAGACAAATTGAGTAATTTGAAATTAAAATGAAAAAAATGTCGATGTCAAATGGTACATTTTCAGCTTCATCCACCTCTGGTGTATTGCCACAATGTTCTGTCGCACTGCAGTATTATTTTCCAAGTAGGAAAAAAAAAAAGGTTTTACAGCAAAATATCACCAAAACAAAACAAAAGGAGTGTCGCGCAGCTTCAGCACCTGAAATGGAAATCAAACTATTATCTTTTGTTGCACGTGTATGCACAGAAAAAAAAGTCCTTGACTTTAATTCTAACAAGTAAAATGCGGTTTCACATCAGTATTATTTTGCAAGGAAAAGAGGGGAAAATTACGGCCCATCGGTTTAACACATTTTAAAACATGTACAACCCGATGTATGGATATGCTCTAATTATAGGATAATGCCCCCCCCCCCCTCTACTGTAATAGTATTGAAAAGGATGGATGAGATTGGGTCCAGGCTGTGGAATTACCACAAACCACATGGATTATTTTTCTGTACTTATGACGACTAAATACATGTTACTGTATTGTATGTAATAGTAGATTGCCACTAAAACAAGTAACGCAAACCATCCGTTTCTCATTTCTTCATGAGCATTTGACAACACAACAATGGAATGAATTTGGAAAGTGAACGTTCTCAATTCTTTTAATACTCGTGACCTTCCTCCTTCCAACGTGGAAAATCCTCACATCGTGTGGTTCTTATCTGAAAGCGACAGGGTGTCGTCATGTCGTCACTACCGACTCATTCACAATCACAAACCAAAACACAGACTGCATCCAGGGAGATGCCATTTTTCACAGGAGGCATAATGACGCTGTCATACTTTGCCTTTGTTTCACGTCATAAACTGAAGTTTTTCCACACACACACTCGCAACGTATTTCATCATAATGTCTCAAACCGCGCATACAATACACATCCAGCATATAATGACGTGTTGCTTTTTTTCTGACTGACTGTATGAAGTCAATTCACAAGGCACATCTTGGGGTATATTTGGCACACAAATCTGCGATTCATCGACGCGTGCACTTGAATTTGTGCGTAATTTGCAAAGGTCAGGTTCATGCCGTCAATTGGGGGTCAATTGGGGCCGTGGACTGTAGAGGGTGGAGCCAACCGGGGCCATCCAGCTGAGCTGAGCCACGTGATCCACAGGCCCCGCCCACCTTCTTCCCACATCACGAACCGTGACATGAATAGCTCAGAAAATCACATTTCTTAACACATTTCCGCTCGTTGCGTCTAAGTGCTGCCTTGTCCTGCATGTATGAATGTGTGTGTCCTCTCAAGTGCAATTGTCACTCAGCGAGCAGATTGTAGTCGACATGCTTTGATTGCGCAAACTCGCATTTGCGAGTTCAACCAAGGCCTCAACGTTTTCTTATCGACCCACGCTACACATCTTGCTGTGAATTGATACATTCGTACACACACACGCACACGCACACACACACACGCACACACCCGCACACATTATTAAAAAAAAGGGTTTTGAATGGCTCAGTGTTGTGATGTGAGGCCAACATAAAGTTAATAGGCTGCCCATTAAAAATAAAAAAAACGTACGTAGTAGATGACCTTGCAGTCTGACAGATATGCTTTTAAGCTTTTGTAAGTCATGCTGTTTGACTCCAACCCATAAAAGACCAAATGTTGCCATGCATAAAATTAAAATGTGCTTCAACAAACTCAGAACTGCTTTGAGCATGAATTTTCCCATTTAGAGGCAAGTCCTATTAACATTACAGTCGGTTATATGATCCACAATTATAATAAAAAGACAGCAGACCACTGCGATTATAATGACATTAATGGAGTAAGACTTAAACAGAATAAGTAATCTGACGATTTGCCAACGGTAAGGTTTTCTTTGTCAACGGAAGGGGCAGGAATTGGCAAACGCAGCTAGGTTACATTTTTGCTGTTTCACACTTGCGAGTGTGAAAAGAATTAAAAATGGCAACCCCATAAGCAAGTATAAAAGACAACTGGAATGTTTTTGTCCTTTTTTTTTTTTTTAAGAATAGATACTTTGTCAATTTATTTCTGCACAATATTTTGGCTGGGTCAAACGAATTGCATGAGCATGACATTAGAATTTCAGTGTTCAAAAGCGTTGCACAGCCTGGCATATTTCATAGTTTTTAGGCAAGCTAAAACAATGGCAATACTGCCTATGAAAATCTGGCATCTATGAGGTTAACACACACAACATCTGGATCCAACTTTCGATCACATGACCAGTGCGAGGTTGAAATAGCGGAACCTGCTTTCTGGGAAGCACAGACTTGGAAAGGAGTTTGGATCGAAATGCATTACCAGTGAAAACATGAAGCAAGTCGGCCGTCTCCTGCTCAGCCTGTTGCCATGGATCCCAGGTAACTTCATTTAAGCCTGTTTTGTGTGTCTTCAAAAAAAAACATAGTGAGGCGTAATCCAATTTTGGCAAATAAATAAATAAATAAAAAGAACAGGATCGTTTCAGTGAAAAGGAAAGTGAAATTTTGTCATGGCTTCCCTTTTCTTCACTCGTTGTAAGGCTTAATCAAGCGACGTCTTGCTGTGTCTCTAGCCTTACTGATGAAAGCTGAAGTTTAAGCAACATGAGCAAACATTTCATTTGTCCATCAGGACTTCTTTGTGGGCTGATGACCGAGGACCAGTTTACAGTCCTAGAGGGTAATTCCCTTATTCTGCCATGTCATTATGAGCCGCAATATGCCAGCAACGTCAAGTACTGGTGCCGGGGAAAAATGCGAGAGTTCTGCACAAGCTTGGCCCGCACAGATGACTCCCTCTTGGAGAGCCAGTCTGAGGACAAAGTGACTATTTTTGATGACCCGGAGCAGCGAGTCTTCACGGTGACCATGAAGAACTTAACGGAGGAAGATTCTGGCTGGTACATGTGTGGTCTGGAGCTTGGTGGATTTTGGGAAGCTGACGTCCGAGCCTTCACTTACGTCAAGGTCAGCACAGGTGAGTGGGGGATGGATTTTAAGATCGACGTGTTATTTGGCACTTTAGTTTTCATGCATTTGCACGACAAGGAAAATTTCATCTGCTTTCTGCAGGAATATCTGTCGTGAACGACAGGCTGAGCGGGGAGGAGGGTCGCGGCGTCACAGTTCAATGTCTCTACAGTCCAAAATACAGGTCTTTACATTCCATTTTGATGTTAAGTGCCTCGAAATACTCTTCTTATAAAAAGATATCCAATTAATTGTATTCAATAAATTCAAGTTCAAATCCCAATCTGAATGTACCTAAAATACTCTGTGCGTGTGTGTGTGTGTGTGTGTGTGTGTGTGTGTGTGTGTGTGTGTGTTTGTTCTTCAATGTGTACGTACCCCGCCTACCACCCGAAAAGAGCTTCGGTAAGCTCCAGCAGGCCTGCGACCCTCGTGGGGACATATATTGACACACACGTATATGCGTGTGTGCTCGCAGGCTGTCAGTGGAAGAGAAATGTCATTTTATTGTGCACCTCCAATTGTACTAAAAATAAAAACAACAAGCATACGTACGCTCGTACGCAAAAACTAAAAAGCGCATACAACAATTCCTCGATACATTGCTTCTTCACCAACAGAGAGAGTGAGAAGAAGTGGTGTCGGATTGGAAACTCGAGTTCCTGCCTGGTGACAGATGACGAGGGAAGCTACGAGGACGTGTCTGTGGCCATCACTGATGACAAAACGGGGACGTTGACCGTAACCATAAAGAAGCTGCAGATCAGCGACATTGGCTGGTACTGGTGTGTTGTCGGACCAAAGCAGACTTCAGTGCATGTGCAGGTCTTACCCCGACCATCAACTAGTAAGTCGACAGGAAGTAAGGATCACACAAACTGAATGGAGTTCCAAAAGTCATGTGCAGCTCTGCCATTTATTTGTGAGAGCTCACGAGAATTTAGTCGGCACTTTTACCAAATATTAAGCACTGTCTTCATGAAGTGAACTATTGATACTATTTATTTGTTGCAACAACAAAAGTTGGAAAGGTCCATACATTTTTGGCGGGGGGTGGGGGGGGGGGGGCTTGCAGAGCTTTGTTGCATTCTTCGCAATGACCCATCCAGTGATGTCTTGCAGCAAACACTGTAAATGTTGTGAGTGTGTGTGTAGATTATGCGTCACTCGAGGAACAGTCGCGGCGCAAAGCAATTGAAGGAGTGCCATTTCAACACAGTCAAAAACATCAACACATACCGCCTAACGTACTTGTACTGAAAACTCACCACCGCGCGCTCACATTTGCAGCAGCGGCAGCCTCGACGACGAATTCATTCGCTGCGGCAAAGCCGTCGGTTGCGGATGCAGACGACCCCAAACAGCGCATCACAAACGATTGCTGCATGCGACAAACGTAAGAAATCCGTTTGGAAATCACCGAAAGGAGCGACGCATTTCACGTGACTTGGCTTCAGCCGTTCTGGCTTTACAAACCGGACCGTCTTGTAAAAATGATGCCTTTGTGTCTGTGTTGTAGCTTTCCCGCGCAGTCCGTGGTGATGTTTGCTTCATTCATGCTGCTTGCGGCCTTGGCTATATTAGCAATGAGGATCGGGAAACATAGTAAGTTTTCGCTTATTCGCATCACATTCTTCATGAGAAGGGTGCTCACCGGGAGCAGATTCCTGCAAAGGCCAAACAATCTTCATTTTATCCTGGCTTGCTTGCAACAAAAATATGTAACAGAGTCAAAGGTTATAACCTTAATAATAATTATAATAATAATAGCCCATGACCCTCGTGAGGATAAGCAAGAGTAACAGAACAGCAATTGTCCGGGATGTCTCGGTCAGCTGCGCCGGCTTTCAACTCACCCGCCACCCAAATGCGGATGCGCCCTGTCGAAAACGAATAGACGGACGAATGTCATGCAAAATGATTGGCGGCGTTTCCAAAACCTGAAGTGTATATCGGAGCACATTCCATGCCTTGAAACGTCTTCCTGATGATTTCCAGAAGAGTTTGCAAAGTTAAGCCAAACTATGGGGATGAAAGCAAGAAATAAGGTCAGTCCTCATGAGCAGCATTTCACAAGACTTCCTGCTTCTCTGTCGTAAAATTCTTTCTTTGCTGTCCCACACAGGATGACTTGGCCATCGTGACCCCCAAAAAAACCCCTGCAGTTTTCGTCACCATCGATCCAATGGATGCCCAGGTGCACTGAAATAGCAGACCACCGTTTGGTTGTATTTTTTCCTGACTGCCAGGAGCAAAGAGGAAAAAGGAGATCCCATCACTTCTACGTAAACGTCAATTCAATTTGAGAGAATCTATCTGTCAATCTGTCTTTTATTTTTCTTAAATATATATTTTGTATTTGCATCTTATTTTGTGTTTCACTGTGTTTGTGTGTGTAGTGGTCATACTTCCCTGCTCATAGGGGGGTGGGGGGGTGTCATCTAAAAAAATGACTTCAATTTTGGGTTGTTTCTATGAATTGTAGGAGTAACTAATAGACTTACAAATCATTGGAGTGTGGCGCTGATGCCATCAGAAAATCGTGTGCGAGTGAAGTGTGAAATTGAATCAAAAGAATCAAACGCCAGCCAATCAGCCGTTCAAAACTCAAAATGGTTTTGGTGCAACATCGACACTTGATTGCCTTTTCTCAAACCATGACGGTGCTCTAGCCTCATGTTGATATGTGCGGTGTTGTTTGCTGTGGTGCTTCGGATTCAGCTGCGAAAGGGTTAAAGATGCAGACATTTTCTTTTCACAGAATACCTGCAGAGTACTGGTCGTTCTTTCCCCTCCATTGCCCCGAGCAAAAGATTACATGTGCTCTGCTAGATGAACACCTCCCACTCCTGAAGTGGCTATAAAAAAAAAAAGGAGCCAACAAAACAAAACTGGTACTGTCTTTTTACGATCACCTTTTCTGTATGTATAATTCACAAGCATTTACTGTACAGTAATGACAGTACACTTGCTGAATTGTTCAACGCAGCTTCTGAACATGGATCAGGTTTGGGGTTGTGTCTGCGGTCCACCCGTGGTAGTGGGCCAAGTGGAGCAGATCAAATCAAATCAAATTGTATGAATATAGCGGCGAGAAAATAATCAGAAATGCATCCATCCAATCCTCACGTGTAAAGTAAACACCACAAGTGGGCATCCTCACTCCGGTGAATCCGCCAGTGAGCTGCCGCCAGCGTTTTAGGCCGGCTCGGTCTTCGAGAACGGACTTCAAGATAGATAAACCAGAGCCCAAAATCGAGTCTGAACTCCTCGAGCTCACACACCAACTCAGGCTCCTTCCTAACGAAGAGGTGTCATTTCACGTCCCGAGAGCCAGCTTCTGTTGCCGGGGATTGGGCCGCCAAGGTTCCCGCCTTCGGCCTCCACCGAGCTCGCGCTGGTCAAAGTCATATCCTTATCAATATTACATTCTGTTCCTCTGTACTCAAAAAGGAGCCACAGCATGTCACTTGTCTCAGCCTTGGAGGACTTTTTGATAAGGTCCATGAAAAGGTCACCACCACCTGCCAAGCATGTACACAACCTGTCCTTGGCTGAGGACGTCTGGCACCAAACAACAAAAACCAGAACCCAAATATTCACATTACTTCGAGCCCTTGACATCAAGATTTCTCTCCGTCAACAGGTCCTTCACGGCTTGACTATTGATTAAGTGTCCTGTTCACGAGCTTTTAAATATCAGGGTCACTATTTTCCAAAACAGTAAAATATACTTGACCAACACACACTTCTCCTGCCGTTAGCGAGGATTCAACTGCTTGTCCTTCGCATGCCACACAGAACAAAGTGGAAGCAGCTGGGCCTCCTTTTTTGCCTTTATTTAACCAGGAAAACAACAAGAAAAACACTCATTAAGATTAAAAATCTCTCCTGGCCTGAATTCGCTGACAGCGCTGCTTTTAATCTCGGGAATTTTCAAGACTTCTTTCATCCAAGTGACTTTATCACATGCACATATTTTGCCATGCACCCCCAAAATTCACCACTTGTCTGTGGCCGTTTTATTTGCAAAAAAAAAAAAAAAAAAGTGTAAAAAGCAAATCCCAATCATAAAATTGGGCACAATGGATATTGAATGAGTCATGTCCACAAATGGCTTCGCTTTGCGGCTTCCCGTATGGCTGCGGCATCCACGTACTCGCGAAGGAGTCCACGTATAGCACCGATGTTACACTCCAGTCCTTGAGAACTGGAGTTCTGCACGTTTTCGATGACCCCCTCCTCCAACACACCTGATTGAAATGATCAGCTCGTCGGCAAGCACCGCAGGAGATTTGCTCGGTATCTGCCAAAGTAAATACAAGGAGGGCGCAGCACGTGCAAATATGAGCGAAAACAAAATCTGCTAGCTTGACCGACGGGAAATAAGCAAGTGGAAAAGGATCAAAGTCATACAGAAGCGAAACCGCTGCTGATGCTGCAACAAATAACGAGAGAAATGCGATGTCGATTTCCGCATTATGAGATTACGCGCTTCAGCGCAGCAAACCCTTGAAAAGCGAAGATGAAGGCTTCAACGCATGCAGATTAGATTTGCAAATGTGTGCGGTTGACACTTCCAAGATGGAGCTCGTCGAATAATTCATGAACACTCAACGCAATTTGGGCGGGTTCAAGAGATGCGGACCCTGCAGGAAAAGGATGTGAAGATATTCATCCAAAACAGCACCGTAAGGTTTATGAGATTTTTCTTTTTTTTTTTTTTTTTAATTCTGCCTGAATTTATTATCAACTTATCATCATTCAGGTATTGGCTTCGCGGGAGCCCCAACCGACTTTTAGGTATAAGAGGCGGGGTATATTCTGGACTGCCCGCCAGTCTATCGCAGGGCACCATCACCTCGCATTCACCACGATTGGACGATGTTGAGAGTGTCTCGAGAAGCCGCAGTGGCCAGCAGGGTCGCGTTTGCTGATGTGCCGGGGCAGCACGTTAAGGTGAGTGAGTGCTGGCGGCCAGAAAGCAGTTAGGGGAAAGTCACCGGGCTGTGCCTCCTTTAGCTTTTGTTTTCCGTGAACAGTCATCTAATCTATATGTCATATATGTATCATATATGACATCTATGATTCACCCGCTGGCCACAGCATTAGAGGAAACGCAAGAGCGGTATTGTAGAATGAAACACAAGCTGTTCTGTGATGTTAATGGGCTCAAGTTGGTCTTTTCAAAATGAAGTTTCCTTTTATCCAAAAAGAAAAAAAAGAAGAAAAGAAAAAAGTCAAATTAACCTCCAAGTGGAACAAAGTTCACAAACTAAGTTTGTTCCAAGACATGAACTGCAGCTCTGAGGAATTTTTTTTTCTTCCCCCCCATTAAAACTCAAATGCAGTGAAGCCCTATTTATTGCAAGGAATCTGGTGAAAATAAATAGAGAGACAAAACAAGCTTTTTATAGTTTCACCCAAGCATGAGATAAACATTTTTAAAACCTTTTTAAAAATAGGCAAACTTATTCAAGCATGGGGCAAAGGAGGCAAAGCATTTGTATTTTTCTCTCCCAGGAAAAACCAAAGAAAAAGCAAGAGCCCAATTTTTGGAGTATTCTGGTCGGTATGCAATGGCACTGCATCATACCCAGACATTTTGCTGGTGTACCTCACGTATGAAGAGTCGGGTGTAAAGTTGATGCATCATGCTTTTCCTTTTATCCAAAAAGAAAAAAAAGAAGAAAAGAAAAAAGTCAAATTAACCTCCAAGTGGAACAAAGTTCACAAACTAAGTTTGTTCCAAGACATGAACTGCAGCTCTGAGGAATTTTTTTTTCTTCCCCCCCATTAAAACTCAAATGCAGTGAAGCCCTATTTATTGCAAGGAATCTGGTGAAAATAAATAGAGAGACAAAACAAGCTTTTTATCGTTTCACCCAAGCATGCGATAAACATTTCTTAAACCTTTTTAAAAATATTCAAACTTATTCAAGCACGAGGCAAAGGCGGCAAAGCATTTGTATTTTTCTCTCCCAGGAAAAACCAAAGAAAAAGCAAGAGCCCAATTATTGGAGTATTCTGGTTGGTGTGCAGTGGCACTGCATCATACCGAGACATTTTGCTGGTGTACCTCATATATGAAGAGTCGGGTGTAAAGTTGATGCATCATGCTAACAAACACCTGCTGCTTCGAACCTGAATGTTGCATACGAAATTCCAGCCCTGTGCGATGCTACGGAATAATGGCTCTCCAAGATGGATGGGTGCGATTTATACCAGAGGTTGTTATTGACTTGAGCGCGATCACTCCTGCATACCGAAGGCCATTTGTGTACGCAGGCCAAGGTTTATTGGAGACAAAGAGTTGGGATTTGCGCGCGAGCCCTTTATTCATAGGCTCGCAAAGGCAAATCATCATTTTTGTGACATGAAAACTGACAGTGAACTGAAGCAGCGTGTTGCCTTTATGTATCCGCTTCTCAATTTTTGAATGCCTCATATGAGGCAATTCAGAACTGATTTAAGGTCTTTATTAGTAAAAAAAAAAAAAAAAACACAAAAATTATGCAGCTGTTAAAAATACATAAATAAATAAATGACCAAACGGAAAAGACTTACACTGAGCGGAAATAGTTGAGCCGACTGGTTCGGTTAAGATCCTGGTTTTGGTTAGATTACATTTGGTTTTGTTTCTTCACAGCCTTTTTTTTTTTTTTTTTGGTCTTCCTCATTATGGTTTTGCTTCCACCTGTTTTTATCATCTGGGTCCCTTGTGTGTACCAATCATCTCACCTTTTGTGTCCTGTCCAGGTTTTCCTCGTTGCCTCGTCAGTTTGCTTGTATTTAGTTGCCTGCTTTCTGTCAGTATTTGTCGGATCATTGTTGCTGTCATGTTGTGGTGGTTATCAAAGTGGTGTTTTGTTTTTTATTCCCGGTGTTTTGTTTTTACTTTGAGTGGTCTTTTCAGGACGTCATTAGTGCTTTTAATTTAGTTTTTACAGCTACTCCTGCAAGTGTTTTTGTAAATAAATTTCACGCTGCTTCTCCTGCCTCCCACGCACGACTTTGACACCATGCCCTGCACCAAAAATGAACACGTTCATCGAAAGTTAATATTTGGAGTTGAAAATTCAGAAATAAACAATTAAAACCACACTGGTCCTGCACCGAATGGATGAAACTCACACTGACTCCGTTTTTTCACCCCAAAACAGCAAAAATACAATACAAGAAATGTAATTTTTCACTTGCTTACTCAATCCACGAATGGATCATGGGACCTCTGGATTTGTCATTCGGATTTACGAAATTTACGTTGAATGATGCAACATCCTGATTAAAGGTTGCATCGGCCTTTTTTTTTGGGTGTGTGAGGGGAGGGGAATCGAAGCATGCTCCATCTGTGCTGATGAAATTGCCTCATCATCACCCACGGCCAGATATTTGGAATTGATATTCCGAACATTTTTATTTCCACGTCATTTTGATACTGTATAATGGATGAATAGCGGTGTAACCGAAGACTATGCAATGACCTATTTAGTACAGCGTGCAACTTGCATCATGATGGACCAAAAGTTAAAAGCAACATTGATCCTCAGCAGGCCGCTCGGGGCTGAGGCGCCGCGTGATTTCATATTACTGTGATCATTAGTATGATTCATGCATAATTTTCTGGTTGTTAAATCAATTGTGGGGCTCTCTAATCAGGAGTAGACGCCTGCAGGTACACCGCCGGGCATCTCTGCTAATAACATGAAGTGATTAGACGAGGTGCAACTGAAGGTGTGCCGTGTAAACACCACATGAGGTAACAACACGTTCCAATGTTCCAATGTGATAAGGACAAAAAGCTGTAGCTTCGGAGTTCATGGTAATTATCATGCTTAGTCTCAGACATGGTCACACCACGACTCGA